TTTACCATAAATAATAAAAAAAAATAGTAAGAAAGTTCAATGATTGACGACAGATAACAGTTGTTTTTACTAAAGAATAATTTGATAAAGAAAATTTCCATCAAAATGCGCAAACATAATTTATTTTAGGTATACAAGGCTTCGCGATCAGTTACAATAACATTAATCTAAAGGCAACTGTCTTATCGGCCAGCTTAGTATCAAACATACACAAAAGTGAAATAATTATGTTTGTTTTACAATCTATTTTATTTTTAAATAAGTTGCACATTATAGGTCTACCTTAATTTGAGATGTGTGTTTGATAGGGTACATATCATATTATGTATATTTAAAACTTTTTACTAAGTGGCAATTTATATGAAAATCTTATGAAGCTTTTTCGTAGTATCTATAAGAACAGTGGACTGTTTTAAGGTGACAAATAAAACTGTTAAACATGAGGGTCTAAAATAAATAATGTATGCACTAAATGAAACAGCATACCACTGACGTGTGCATCGATGTACACTTGCACACACTCAGTGGTACATGTACAGTTAGGGTCAAAAGTGCAGTTGCACTCTATCAATTTTAAAATGACTAAAATTTCTTTGTAATACAACTTCAATGGGTCATAGCCAGTTTATTCAATAATTTAGATTCTATGCTATAAATTAAAGCAGTCCCCAACCATTGACTCTATTCTACAAAGATATTTTGGTCATTTTAAAATTGGTAGAGTGCAATTACATTTTTGACCCCTGACTGTATGTCTACCCATATACATCAAGCATACTGGAGCCTTTAAATATTAAGTTGTTATATGTATAGAATGTTGTGAAATATCAATTTTTAGAAGTATTTGGGAACAAAATGAACCAAACCTTCCTAACGCCTTACAGGACAATATGAAATAGGTACCTAAGTATATGTTTAGCATAACTTAACTAAATAGAGGCTCAGATAGGCCCTATACCTAGGCACGTAGTATATATGTATAGTTTTTACGGTTGTTAGAACAAACTAACTTAGTAATACAATCATGGTACAGTCAAGCGTTAGCGCTTTGTCACTACAGTTTTTATGTCGATTCGAATCAGTTCCCACGTAGTTTCCTATGTTTCAAAAACGATGTTAATGTTTTTACATGACTTTCCGAATGGCAATGATAATCGATTTAGTTTGAAAGTGAAAGTTGCTCCGAATCGATTTCAGAATTCGAAGGAAATTAATGTCATTTATATTCGTTTTAATGTTCAATGATAAATAGTATTGTCAATCTGCTTTGTGGAATGAAAAATTAAGGTTTTGTATTTGAAACTCTCAATAAAACAAATAAAGTTTAAAATAAATTGTTAATAAAAGTTTCAGTTATGTATTTCTAAAAAAAATTTATAAATTATTTGTATGCTAATCTTTTCTGTATTATTTGTTTTTACAATTCATATCGTTTGTAATAATATATTCTACTAAACAATGCCAGCGTCATCACGCGCATTACTAGGAAGAAAAGAAGCCCATAATATATTATTCCAGGCTATAGTTTAGCTCCGTGTAAATTTAAAACAAAATAGTTTTTACATTTGAGTTGTAAACAAACATGCATCCATCAAAACTTAGAAACTTTCGCAATTATAAATATTTACTTTTATTTGTAGGTTTTTTGTGTTAAATTGTTCTAAATTCCACGTAATTAACATAAAAGGTGAAAACTAAGTGAAATTAATAGGTACCTAATTTAAACTGTCATTGTTTGTTAATATTTTCTAGAAATCTACCCACTGTCAAAGAGCACCTATTGTAGATACATTTTAATGAGTAACACAAACATTAATGTCACTCAGCATATCGTAATACAATTTTATGCAGTCTTAAAATAGTTTCCCAAGCAGAAAACAATAATTAAGTTATTAATTAAGAAACCAAAGAAAATATGGATGGATTGTGTGAGAAATGATATGGAAGACAGATGAGTTAGTGATAGCGTGACGGGTGACAGGACAGTATGGAAGAAAAAACATATTGCGCCGACTCCAAATAAATCGGGACAAGGGCAGGAAGATGATGATGATTATGTGGAACCTTCTCACTCGTGGCTTTAGCACCAAGCAATACACTAATCTCGAATACCTATGTGAAGGAAAAACAAAGGAGTTATCTCTTTGACACGCAACAACTGTATTTTCTTTATAACAACACTTTTACAAATTTTCATAACAATCCAGTTTAATTTAAACAATATTACCTAACCATTGAACCAAAAATTATCAAATTAATAAACCATTTTAAAGAGTTAAGATTTTAATTGGATAATTAGCAATTTATTACATGCGTTAAAATTAGATACCCGCGTACGGTTTATTAAAATTAACCTATAAAAATAAGTTAGATACAAATTAAAAATTATTTTCAAACGAAATGGGAAATTTAGATATTTGACTTTAGGTACTATCAAAACCAATAAATATGAAGAAGGTCTTCATATTTAACAGAAAACACTACTATATATTCACACGACTTATTTACTGATTGACAGTCTAGGCAAATCGTAAAGATAGCGGCTTGATGTCATACCTTAGTTCCGTGAGTGCACAGAAAAATAATTTCCCATGGGAAAGTAAAAAACAAGAATTTGGTAAGACGTAGGCAAATCAATATGGTGATAGAAAAAACTGGTAGATATGGCTGTACATATGTAGTCCACCAAACGCAATTCTAAAATATCAGTTTGGCAGATTCACGTGCTGATTTCACTTTTATTTATTTTGTATAGAATTGAAAATTAATTGACTTTACATCTTTACTTACACCGTTTATTTATTGAAGTAAAATGAATACACAGAAACGGATGTGCCATACCGTTTTTATTGTAAATCCCACCCAAACAACAATATATCAATAACAAACAATATCTCACAAAATTATTTTAATCGATAAATATGTGACCAAAGTGGCCTGGATCAATCGATACAATCCGAACATTTTAAATTGCGAACAACTCAATGTCTGACAAATGTGAAGATTATCGGCAACCGTCCTATGAAGAAGTGATCCATAGTACTATCTTGGACTATCATAGGCCGTTGATGATGATTGACTTCTCTCTTAATGAAGACTGAACGACTGACGACGCATAGTCGGATCTATTCATTCCCTATGGCATATGGTGGATTATTAAAATAAAACTTTTCGTTTTTAAAGTCCCTTGTAAAATATAGTAATATAATCTTATTTACAATGTTATTAAGACACTAATTTCCATGAATGTTTAATATTTTATCATAAATATGCGTTTGGCCTATGAAGCGCTTAAGCCAAATGTCTCCAGAAATAAAACAACGGAACGGAAAGTGAACATTTCATGACGTCCAAACCTTTTTTTTTATATTGTCATAAAATATATTTGCGTTTTTATTTTAATATAATATTTGAAAACTCTTTTAGTAGGTAAGGGTTTCGAAAATAATATGTTGGTATACCAGTAGTGGATAAATGAATTTCTGAAAAATTTTGTTATGTGCTTTGCAGTAAAATCAAAGAGTTATACAACACAAACAATATCACATACCTACAGCTATGTAGTTATTTATGTATAAAATATGAATCAATTTACACGAAAGCAGTAACTAGGTACTGACGCATATAATTTGTAATTACTGTTCTGGCACCAAATGAGCATTCAGTAATTATTATTTAATGAAAAATTATGGACCATCGTTATACCTTTAGATTTTACATAATGATAGACAACACAAAGATTAATCCACGCTTGTTTAGAAATCGAATGAACACGTGACTAAAATTAAATCATCTATTATAGTACCAGTCATAAGACGTCCATAAGATCCGCTGCTAAAGACTGGACTCTTCTTATAACGCGACTGATTAAAAACGAACTGCGCTCATAAAACCCTTTTTTTTAAGGAGTGAAAATCTACAAATTACTTCTCTCTCGCGAGGAAAAGGGAATGTCAATTCCTATCGACTAAACTCTTCCTCGCTCCTCCCCCCGTTTCTTCCCTTCTCCTGCTCCAGGCCGAGGCTACGGTCTTTAGAGCGCTTGACCCTCAACCTTGCCTTAAACATCGGCCCTGTGAGCCCCATCAAAGGTGGCCCATTGGCTTTTTGAGGCGCTCGCGAAACGCTATGGTGCGGTGGTCCGGTTCTAATCAGGCGACGAGCTACTCTTGCTCGCCGACTGCTCTCGCGCACTCATAAAAGCTGAATTTATTTCAATCGGTATTTAAATAAATGCGTATTAAAATTCGAAACAACAATTCGGAGCGCACTATGCCAAGTACAACTTTTAGAAGAAGAACAAAGCTAATTAGACAAGACAATATATTAATGAGACAATATAATATTTGTACAAGACCATTTATAGCGCGTTAATTTTATTACTTACTTCCGCGAGGGTGAGACTTACCAAAGAGTTTGGTCATGTGACTACACACCTCTGGATGAATTAAAAACACAAATTGCCTTCGTACCTATTGCTAATTTAATACAATTAAGATCTATATTTTCTGAATAACAAAGAACTTTTATGTTAAAATATTATACTTAAACTAGCTACTCTCGCGCGGTTTGACCCGCTGCTCAGCTCCATTTAATCGTAGCGTGATGTTTTATAGCCTATATCAATCAGGAATATTGTAGCTATATATCAGTGACAGAATTTTAGCAATCCGACCAGCGGTTCCATACATTACCCCCTACATACAAACTTACAAACATACAAACTTACAACCTTTACAAATTTTACCACTTTGTGATATTAGTATAGATATCGTGTTAAACTTTTAATTTTTTTATGCTTATTGCTGAGCTTCTAAGCCAGATCTAATACAGGAAACTTACAGTACTACAGTACTTGTTGTCTACTTCTTAGAACTGTTAAGTGTTCGTATGTAGGTACCTACCAACTTAAAACTCCTATGTATTTCAAATATACGTATCTAGTTCCTGCTTACATTATAGTGCAAAAAATTTCATTGCCATTTTATCATTTGTTATAGGATCGACTTCAACGACCCGATCACAGACAAGCCCGCGAACTTGGCAAACTCTGCCGTTTTGCGCATGCTTGAAGAAGAAGAACGCAATCGTAGGGGAGGACGCCCTAGTAAGTACACTGCTTTATTTAAACTTTGTCTAACCCACGCACAGATAACTGCATGCACGATAAATCAAAAGATGAAGTTCTTTTAATAGAAACTTCAATGGTAAAGTTTATTTTTCAAAATAAAATTCAAATGATTATGCCACGTAGATAATTTTAAACTTTTTATTTAAGTTTTAATCACTATGGTATGTCTTTTGGGTGTTAGTGTGGGTATATAGACAAAACAGTATGATACCAGAAGGAAGTGTGAAACAGAAGAACACTGGAATAAGAGTGGCGAAAATTTATGAAACAATGAATTTATTTTTGGAACTTTAAACGGCACTTTAACGCGTAAAATTTACATACGAAAAACTAGATTAAGCCGGCTTAATCTAAATTACGTATCAAAAAAGCATATTTATTGAAAACAACAAAATAAAAATACAGTAAGCGGTTGAATAATTCATTAACTGACGTTCTTTCCACCTTCTCTCTAAGAAACGTTTGTCTTAGGAACTGCACGAGTTAAATTTAATTTCATCTAGCCACACCTGCTGCTTATCATATTTCTTGCACAGAATGTATAAATATTTCTATTAATTCCAGTATAAGTAAGACTATATAATTATATATAGTATATATATATACCGAAAATCTAATATTATATTTATTTCAGAAATGCTTTAAAAGAAACAAAATGAATACGATCTCCGCTATAAACACCTCCTGCAAAGTTTTTAAATAAAAAACTGTGTAAGCTTACTAATCCACTAATGTTTTCCCCTGCTTTATCAGAATTAGACCCAAGCCAAGAATGGGCTATTAAGAAGAACATGGTACACATGAGCCATCCATTTGACAACTACTGGCCTCCTGATAAATCGAGGATGCGATCAGCTCGGAGCTGGGATGGTCAGCTCAACGCCACAGGGAATGTATATTCAGAGTTCTTGAAGGCCACTAAAGGTACCAGCGCAGCCTGGTAGAATAGACGCAGCTTTGTCTGTTCTGTAATAATATGTCATTATGTAGCGCAGTTCATTAATCGCTGTCGGTCAATCAACTCATGTAGAGTCTAGAATCATGGCAAGATTTGAAATCCATACATGTTGTGTAAGCGTAAAACTGTCTTAACGTGCGGACTAGAGTAGATCAATGTAAACTTTAAATCCTATTTTTGTGATTAACCTTATTTCGATCGCATTGCATCCAGCTAGCCGTAATTAGAGTTGAACTCACGGAAAGAGACCGTCTTACTAATACTACACAGACCACTAACTGGTTCAACAGGAAACCCTCTGCTACCAGACGTTATATGACGCTACAACACTCGGATGATTCATTGATCCCAATATAATGAATGAAACACGATGTGGTAGAGTGTATTGTCCTATCTTTTCAAGTCGTCAGTCGTTAAACCCGTCATTGTATTGACTAAAACCGCCCACAAATGATGAGAAAATATTCATTAGTGAAAAGTATTTGGCAAGGCTTGGAAGTTCCCCATAATGTGCTTTTACCTGTTGTATCTAGTACTAGTGCACAGTCGACAACGGAAGGACACAAACGGAAGAAATGCCTGAAACAGTGTTTGTAGGTAAAGTAGCCATTTTGTTTTATTTGTGGAAGACATCTTTTGTTCAAGGGTACATGCACCTACCTAAACACGCCAATACTTTGTTGCTTACATTTGTCTTCTTGATAACACCCAAACAGTTTTAAATTAGCTTTTAAAATTGTGTTATACGTGCGTGTACCAGAGCTTATTCTTACCTAGGTAAATTATTGTAATAAAATTGTTCTCAATACACTATAATGTAAAAAAGTGTTCAATCAAGCGCGGCGCACATCAAAAGAAAAATAACTCACACGTAGGTAGTTCTTGAGAAAGTAATTATGACCATTGTTAATATGGAATCTCGTAGACCCCCTTATAAATAGGAGGAACTGTAGAATCATTGTCTAGTAGGTAATCTGATATCAATAACTAGATATGTTAAAAAAACGGAATTACAATAATTCCATTATAAACTAAAAAAGCTTTGTTGCGGTTGCGGAAACCAGTAACAACCGTGATTTTAAATAAAACGACCAGACACCACAAGTGTGTAAAATTTTCAAATTTCCGTGTGTATTATCAAGTATTGACTTTGATACCAGGATTAAAAGCTATAACAGCGTTGTTTGACGTCAAGTGGACTATTTCTAGGATTGTACATCTCTGTAGGCTCATGAATCAGCGTTTATTTTAAAGCAGGTGCTGAAAAGTTGCAAACGACGCACAATATAAGTATCATAGTTCATACGTTTTCTCCAGGTGTGCACTATTCTGGGAGCTAGTGGTTTTTATTTAGACTTCTTCGTTTATTGGCAATATGTTTGCCACAGTTGCTTTTGATATCGAGATTATTATACAAAACTTTAAAGATTGTTTAATCGGTATGTTTACCCGGTTATTAAAACTTTGTTCAGTAGCTTTTATAGGAGTTTAAAACATTATATCTAACAGGAATCATAGTCATCTTTCTCATCAGACCAGTCAAGCGACGTTGGAGACCTCTAAACCGCTCTAACAAGTTAATAACTTGCAAGTAGCCGTCGGCGACGATTAGTTATGTGGACCGTTTGTAATTTATGTGCAACTCATGGCCCAATGAATGAGATAATTGCAACCATCTCCCATAATCCCTGATGAATCAGATTGCTGTACTAATTGCCTAGGTACCAATTTTCCCCATGTTAAACTTTAGAATATATTTTTATAGTCAAAATATGATGCACTGAGACGTATGGGCTATGCACTCGAATATATCATACTTGTTGGTATGTAAGTTTCGCAAGAAGTGAAATACATTTTCCGTCTTACCATTTCGTTAAAATTTACGATCTCATTGTACTGTACCTAGCTAATGGCTTTATGCTTCCATTTCAACATCTATAAATTATTATTAGCTAGGTGTTCAGGTGTGTGCTGGAAGTCTAGGTCATAGATTTAAGTAGGTGTGTCCATTTTTCGGGTGTCGGTATCAAAAGGCGTGAGAGAGCGATTGCGTGTCCTAAAAATGTGCGTTCTGAAAATATAATATGCGGTAGATATTTGCGCTCGACGCACCTGCCGGCCAGCCAGCTAGTCAAACGTAGTGCTCACCGGCCCGCTGGCGGTTGCCGCGTCTCACGTACTTAACAAATTGATTAATTTAATTGTGAGTTTCTCTATTATTTATCACTTCATACCTTCTACTACTAGTGAAGTTTCTTCATTCATTTATTTTGTATTAACAATTTGTTTTTTATTGCTTCATTTTAATTTTATAAAGTGCATTTTCGCAGTCTTGAGTCAATTCAATATTACAATCTGGATATATTTTTTATCCGTTCAAGCTAATTACACTGAGTGCAACAGTGATAAGCAATATTTACCCTTTAGGGCAAGTGAAACTAAATACAATATGAAGTAGGACATAAACAGAAGTTAGTTTTGGCAAAACTTCACTTACTTCGGTACAGTTGAACATTGTTAGGGTGGTTTCCTTAACACGGAGTAAATTGAAACTCAATAGGTAGGAGTACATCGACACATAGCGGTTTGAAGTTGGGAACAATGTTTGGGAATACTGAGGACACCAAGTACCTTGGAACTTTCTTGCTTGTATCCAATCAAACCTTGAACCACACTAATTTGTGAGATAAGTCGACCTACACGAGTACCTACCGATTCCATTTGTAAGTGTCCCCAATTACTGATTAAGAAGCTTGTCTGTTGTTGTCTTCCTTGTTCAATGAATATCTCAAACCACATCCATGAGATATGCCCTAAACTACTTATTAGAAACATTATTACCGACAATTGTTCTAATTTTGGTACACCTTCTTCAAACATTTTTATTTTGATATACATGTACATTTTTTAAGCATTCATGATACGTTCAAGCTTTCTTGTTGTTTTACAACTGGATCAGTTTCTGTGATTTGTCTTTGATAGTTTCATTAATTTTAAATATATTTATATCTTTAATTTGAATCATAATTAACTTTGTATTAAAACCTAATTATAATCCCATTATTCTTACAGATATGAAAAAAAAATATCTGTTGGCTCTTTTATTCCTTAAAATTAAAATAAGTGTTTATCTACTTTAGGGAATCTGTTAAGAGTTAGTTAGTTACAAGTTAAGATTGGATTGGAAGCTTCAGCTCTAGATTCTATTTCTGAGTCTTTGAATTATCATTGAAAACGTTCAAATAAAATTGTTGTTTTCGTAAATCAGCCGTGAGTCGTGTAGTAAGTGGGCAGGTAATTAAATAGCAAACGATTTTACGTGCATAGACAAATGCAAGGCCGAGTTCCAGTTTATTTTGCTCTGTGGAATTTGTTTTAACATCTGTTTAATGTAACTATTGCACCTACACATTTTTCAGACATTTCTAGAAACACGTATCTACCTTCATTTATTTATATAGTGCATACAAGTCGTTAATAGGATATCCAAATCTTTACGGCTAAGAGCAAATAATTACATGCTCCCGGAATATCCTCGTTGAATCATAAATCTTTGTTCGCCTACAATAAAACGAACTTATATTCTAGAAATGTGTTTTTTCGATGCTCTGGCGCATTTCCAACTGCTTGGTGGGTCGCGCTAATTTAAAGAGAGATGTGTCATAATAAGCATCGTTGTGTTCAACACTGTGTCTCATGGTCTCCAGATCATATCACTCGACGATTGAGATTGTACGTCTTGATTACATAAATACCAAGAAACACGTATTTTTAAAAGCATGCCACGAATCTCGAAAATAATCTCTGGCACGTTGCAAAAGCTAATCATAAAATAACACGAATGTCTTGCATTGTTACAGGCCAGAAGAAAGTAGTGTGGCCACCTGTGCCCGAAACGAACGGATATCATCAAACACCACAGGTATACAATGCACTCAATATTACAACTATCACATAAATATGACAAAATTACATGTACATATATAGGGATTGATTTAGATGCAAATGACATCACAGCTGCACATAGCATACGCTTAACGGTGGCGGAGCAACAATAATAATAATTGCATGCGAAACAGAGCCTACAGAATTTCGATATGTATTATAAGCTACATTATAAATCCCAACAGCAACAGTCGCCTGCGTTCTACAACAACGCGCAGCAATCCCCAGCTTCTCCACAGCCCCAACAACAGCCACAGTACCAACAACAACCCCAATATCAACAGCCTCAACCCCAATATCAGCAACCTCAGTACCAACAACCTCAGCCTCAGTACCAACAACCTCAGCCCCAGTACCAACAACAACCCCAATACCAACAGCAACCCCAGTACCAACAACCCCAATACCAACAACAGCCTCAGTACCAAGCTCCCGAGTCGGATCCTTCGTTCTGTGAAGGCCGGCGACAGGAAGCCACAGGGCTGAGTAAGCTGATTCCCGTCGGTCCAGGCGTTACCGCATCCCCTACCTCATACCGGCCAGGCCCACCGTCACCAGGCGTCGCGCAGCCCTATCGCCCGGGACAAAGCCGCTGGGCACCAGTACCAGCCCCTCTTTCCCCTCAGGTATTAGGACACAATGAAGTTGGAACGTCAACATCGTCGAATAGAATTTACTTTTAGTGTTTATTATAACTGAACTTGCACGTTTTCATTTTACTAACATTCTCTAGGTAAGTAACTGTATGTGCAGATCGCTACTGTGTAATGAATGCTTTGCCTTTGTCTGTGGGATATCAACTTTCTAGCATAGAAACTACGATTAATACAGAGTGATATTTTTGTAACACTGAGCAAATCTTTAATTTATGACAACCGATATTAATACATTTGACAATGTAGGTAGTTTTATTTTAGTTTTAGTTCCTTCTCACTTGTATAAAGTTAGTAAGGAGTACACCATGTGATAATCTACTTGCTATCTGATTAACAGCGATGTTGTCTTATTTGGCATGTTGTTCATTAGTATTGTTGTGGACAGACTCAAGGATCGCAGCCGGGGTACCCGTCGCAGCCGCAGCTATCGCCGAGCCAGTACTCGCCACAGCCTGACTACGGTTCTAGCCGTCCTTCGTACTCAGAGCCCCAGTACCAGGCCCCACAGAAGAACTACGAGCCCCCACCAGCGACGATTACTCTTCGTCAGCAACAACCAGTACACCAGAAACCTCCTCCAGTTTTTCCTAGTCAACCCGCCACAGCTTCTTACCAAGGTAACTTCCGCACACACATATTTACGACAAACACGTTAAACTTTTTACAGACTTTCAGCGTAGCGTGGGTACAATAGATCAGTACGAGAAGGTGGTTGTTTATTTCCTTATTCTTTTAGTAAAATTTATTACATACTATGCATTTATTTCTGTTTAAAATGAAAGTCTCGCTCGTATTGGTGAGAACTGAGAAGTCAAAACTTTTTATTGAGGTAATTAATGGCAATATCAAAGCGCGTAAACAAGGCAAATACCTCGCTTTTTTTGAAGAGACCTATGCTAACATAATAATAATATGTCGAGCTCCACCAGTACCGAATTGAGATAACTTTTTGTCTTGGAAAAATTAATAAACTATAGTATGCAGTCACTACCATCACATGAATTTAAAAAAACAATTAATTAGGTTGTTAAAATACGTTGGAACCAATGAAATCACTATCCATTTATGAAGGGGCTTCGATTAACTGATAGGACTAGGAGAGACATTCAGATATAGGTACTTAAATTTAATTGGAACTCTTAGTGTAATTCAATCAATTACACGAATAATTCGAGTTGATCAATCAATCAAACATTTTTGGGTAGACTAAGCCTTAGAGTTATTATATGATTACTAATGATATCTAATGTGCTACGAATTAAGTACGTAATTACAAGTCTTTGGAGAAACCACGAGGAAATCCTTAGCCACTGGACTTCCTAAAAGCTAAGCTAACAAACTGATGGATGTCTAACTAACCCTAAATGTGTCGACGTCTCGGCACAAATACTCTAGGGGTGTCGCGCGCTGAAAAGCTTAGTAATTTGCAACTGAAGCCAAATTTCATTCCGCATTTAAGTTTATAAATAAAACAATAACATTGTTTTAAAAGGTGACCAATAGGATCGACAGGAACAGTTGTGACTTGCGAACTAAATGACAAAATTGTGTTTACGAATGCGATACACTGCCAACTATGAGTATTTTGGCAAATCTGCAACAACATACTTAGTAAATGTCCTCGGCATTACCTAATTAATAACGTTAACCTAATTGGCGCTAGTTATCTAGACATCTAGGCATTATTTCGTATTCTATTGTTCATTACATTTTACATTTGTTCATTGAAGTGATTGGAATTATAAAATTTCCAGGAGGTTCCAACATGCGTGGGGACCAGAAGTGGCCACCTCAGTCCGTGAAGGAGGCAGTAGCCGCTGAGAATGAAGCCAGAAGACAGCTGGCAAGGGGACCTGCTTGCAGACCTCGCAAGGTATAATAATAATTATAAAGCTTTTTGTCTGATTATACCTAGATGGGTAACTGCCAGTGTATTCATGGGTTATTTTACTATTTAAAAGCTTTATTGTTGTTACGTAAGTATTGTATTATACATTCCAATTTTATTACCACCAATCTTACGCTTAATTTTCAGGACGGTATAATCATTGAAGATGTATCTGTCATCGTGTGAGCTGCCCCTAATACAATCGCTAAAAATATACTTAAATAAATGCTACAAATAACATGTACCTACGCATGCTGTATATAAGATTCAAAATACTTATTGTTTTTTATGCAACTGCCCTTTAAAACTTACAAGTTGCACCCCCAGCCACGACTCAAGTTCACACGTCCGATCCAATTTTTTCTTATAAATACTTTATTCATGGATAATGTTCTGTATATATTCCCTCATATCTCTAAGAATCAAATATTTGTTATGTTTTTAAGTCACTGTATATTTTTCACCTATCTACCACGTTTTAAGAAGTAGGTACCTACCTAATTTTGCTGTCAACAAATAATCATTACAAAGCCTACCAAAAAAAAACCTAATAACGAGACCATAAAAAAATATTATAAAACTGTTACTCTAAATATATGTGATCATTACACAATTAAGTTTGGGCGCAGATCCACCACATAGTTACCTACAGGTTCTCTATTAAACATTGCCGAATTGACGTCGACGACAGGTACTACCTACGCTTAATGTTTGTATACTTCGATGTTTAGACTTCGGTACTCAATCTCCACTCCACCTAAAACAGACGTTTCTCGAACATCATAGAGAGCCGATACTAAACTGTAGCAATTCCACAGTTTTCAAGGAAACCGTTGTCTGTTTTAGCTGCGCCAATATTCGCTTGCCGAATTAGTTGCAATGAACGAGGTGTAGGCGTCGATTCCCAAGTCCGTATGTAGCCGGACTTTAATACCTAAGGTGTAAGTGCAGTTTGACTAGTGCAACTATATGTTTGGACAAACTTTCCATTAACAGTTCTCGGCACTTGATGAAGGGCAAATCTAGTTTAGTCGCGAGCACCTAACTCGCGTTTAGTAGGCTTTGCAATATCTATCTAGATGTGGGTGTACGACTCTAACTCTTAATCCTAGAGAAACTCAGTGATAATGTGACTAAGATAATTTTAATAATTAAATAATGTTAATAAAGTACAAATTTTACAATTTTCTTAAGTATTTATTAAGAATTTATTAAGGTCAAATTGATTTTATAAAAACTACCTACGTTTTCTTACAAGTTAGACAATTGATAAACCCACGGTAGGTATTCAATAATTACTTATTAGGAAGAACAAAATGCCATTACAGGCAGTGTATTTATAGACAGAATATTAACTGATCAGAAAAATAGGGCTTTGAATAATTTGAGGGAAAAACTAATATTTATTATTTATCTGTCTACCCACAAATATTTATACCAACCTCATTTTTCATCTACATATTATGTACTTTTTGAAATACGTATCGAAGTAGTCTACAAAATAAGTGAATTTTAGTACAGATTGGCTTGAGAGTCGTACACCTATCCTACCATACATTCACGTCACGTAATGGACTAAATCATTACACAAAGACATTCATTTTTCTTCTGTCTGCAGTGCTTTGCAATGTAGATGAGTTTAGTTTAGACGGTGCATGACTAAATTTAAGATCGAAATTATTACTGAAAATGTTTACTCATTATCTTAAAGTAATCCCATCTTTATCGATTTTCCAATACTTAGTAGATAAGTGTTAATGTCATAGGTACCTATCAATTTAATCTAATATTATGGATAAGGTAAAAAAACCCTACATTTCATAGGGCAAATTCGAACGAGATAATAATACGATTCTGTTGTTGCTTCTAATTACAGGTAAAGAAGGATTACGGTCCTTTCTTCGCGCAGCACGCCCTGAACAACAACTACCCAGGGTACCGCGCGCCCCCCGGCACACAACACTATGAGGACCACTCAGGCCGATCTTCATACTAAACTAGATCTTAGAACTAACTACATCCCTCATGATATGAATATTAGTCTGACATCAGTCTTCATCTGTGAATTTTCACGTGAGAATTTGTTGACGTCACTCATGCCCGAGTCTAGTGTCTACTCGCCCTTAATTGAAGACAGCATTTTGTAACGTCAACAAATAAGTAGTTATCATCTCATCAAAGTAAACATCAATCAATTTAATTGATTCGCTAAAAGCGGAATTGCCGGGATTTCGAGTACTTGTATAGACTTTAGGTATTAAAGTCTTGACGCATGTACGAATTGAATTTCAATCAGTACTTAATTGTAGGATTAATTTATTTTAACCATTATATAGTATGTAAGTCAAATATAATCATAAAAAATATAAAAATTAACATTATCATGTTCATTAATCGCCTTAAAATTATTTCATTCTCTTTCATCTTCATTGTTTTCTAAAGTGCGGCTTTATACATTGCGAACGTACCCGAAGTTGCTTAACAATGTAACTGTAAATAATGCTCAACTACCAATGTCATAAATAATTTTTTAACTCGATGTAGTCTATAAAAACTAAGGCAACTATGTGAAGAATATGTTTATGATTTTGGATATTTATAAATTGAACGCTTCCGCCAACGTAAACATTAACAATTGGCTAAGCTTATTGTACCTACCTAGTCATGAAGAGATTATACGAATATTTTGTATATAAAAAGTTATCTAAATGGCCTTATTGATTTGGTATATCATTATGTAATTATATTTTTAATTAAATGAATTATATTAAATGCCACTCAGTTCTTATTATTTCAAACTAGCGGACCGCACAACTCTAACTGACTAAAAACCTCCCCGTTCCTTCTCCTGCACCAGGCCGAGGCTGCGGTGCCTCATTGCGCTTGCCCCCCAATCTGCACATTGGCTCTGTTAGTCTGTTGGTTCTTTCAGATGCGTGCGGTACGCTACCCGCCGTAGGCTCGGGTCTGGTTCTGGCCCGACCAGAACGAGTTAATCTTGCTCGCCGTCCGCAGAATGGTCGTTCGACGCCAAATATTCATAAACAAATGGTTTAACTTAATAAACAAACCATATACAATATTATTTACCATTTTTTTGTATATTAAACAGTATTTCATTTAGCAGTTTAACAAAACTATTCAACAGGAAAAATACAAACTAGGCCAAAATAAAATAAAACAATACAAATACGTACGAAAATATTATATTATCATACATTACATACATCGTGTACAAACCACGCCGAGTACCTAGACTGAGGTGCTCCATAAATGCTTCAAAATAATTAACAGCAATCTAGCCAAGCTACGTACAGTACCAATATGTACAACATGTACAAGTATAACAAAACAGTAACAATTGGGTACTTGACTTATTCAAATACAAATTATTTAGACTTCCACGCAATAAAATAAAATATTATAAAACAATCACTTTTCATTCATGGCTTTTACGATATTCATACATAACGTTTGTAGTTTTCTAAAAAAAATTAAGGAAATGAAAATGTTATTTGACGCCAAGAAAACATGGCGTCACAACACACAATCCCGTACAAAATTGATAGAAAACTGTCGATGTTGACAATTCGAAAAAAGTGTTCAATTTGACTTGTTTTCAAGTACCCAATACCAAAAAGCCTTTGTATTGTCGCCGAATTTAACCAATGGCATAAGTTTAATATCACAGAGGTAGCCCGTTTATATACAATATCATTATGGCTACGTGTTTCTAACAAAGGAGCAACAAAATATCGCTTTCTCCCCAAACAATTCTCTTTGAGACCGTCAAAGGATTATCTAATATTGAAATAGCTTGTTTCCTATTGGCAACATTCAAAAGGTAAACTACAAACCTAGCACGCACTTATGTGTATTTATTTAATAATGTAAGACGTCAACAACAGAAGTTTGGAAGCAATACTGCTTCTCATAATATGAAATAATAAGAACTTATAAAATTAAGGTTTTTTAAACAATAACAATTAAATCGGAGATTATGGTTATTATTATTTTGTGTTAGTTTTCTAAAATGATTTTAGTTTGAGCACTAACATAGAAAGGTTAATATGTAGTAAGGAACCAAAACGACTTTTTTATTAATTTTCATTCAAAATGTCTTTATTGTGAATTCCTTACGCAAGCTCCCCGATACGATAATAACTTATTTACACTCGTAAGCAATAATAAACTTTTAAGCGAAATCTGGAAAGAAACTATGTAATACATTTATACAATAAACTAGATGAGTCTACCGTTCGTGTAAATGCGTGCTAGGTCTGCTCTACTAGATTGGTGTGATCAAGTCTTCGTCTCACTTCGGCAATATAAACCGGACACGACATATAAAAATTGTTCTATCATATTATTATGTAATGCTGTCGTGTCAGAGCGCTTCCAGTTATCACATTACGCTTTGCAGCATTAACATAAATGCAAATCGTCTTGTCGGAATTAACAAATAAAACATTCCTGTATAAAAAAATTGCATAACATAACTGATTTATAACACTATTATATATATAAATAGAAAATACATATAATATCAGGAATAATGATACTTTTCTTGGAAAGGCACCGAGTATGCTAAAAGTATGTCACATAAAACAATTTACATGACCAAAGTATATTTGACTGCTTAAAAATTAGTTAAAGAGAACAGAAATCACTAACATGTTACGTTATATTTTTGTCGCATTTTAAAAACGGATTTTTCTAATGGACTTGGAACTAGAAATCAATGTTCACAACTGATGTACTTACAATTTTTCATAAATAGCCATCCAGATTATGAGCAGTACATTCTCACACAGACTGTTCCACGTCGGAACAAATTGCATAGCTCGTCAAATTATTATTATATTATTATTATTAATTGAAATACCACGCGATTAGAATATTATTATTACACATTATTTTTCAATATTATTTCCCTGATTTACACTACGTATTAAACGAACGCTTCCACGCTTCGCTGGACGATTTCTTTTGTTACTTAATATATTTCAGATGCAGCAGAACTGTGACTCCACTACACTCTAAGTCCCATCCTAAAGTGCCGAGCTCTGTACACACTGAATCCCAGTAGAATAAAGTCATGGTTTCCAATATATACACAGCTGATATCATGGTAAAGTTCAATAGACTAATTGCTATAGAATCAAACGAGTGAGAATCCTTGTGTTTGTTGAATTGCTTGAACAAGGTGGTATTTGAGTCGTTCTTTAGTCTTATAGCGTGGAAGATCTAGGAGGTTGAAGCAAGTGTGAGCTACTGGGAAGTACCTGTCGTCTGCCACTGCTTGGATTCTTATCTGTAATAAAGTTACAATTATTTAATTTCATAAATCTTAATTCAAAACTATGTTTATTAGTTTAAATATGATTTTGTTCTACGAGAAATAGCTTTTTTGTATTATTATTACTCGACTTGTCATAATTTCTAAGTTAATACTCACTTTAATATCTCTCATTCCCTGAATCGGGACACGGTCACTACCAGTCAAAAACAAAAGGAACTTCTTCTTATCTTCAAGTGGAAGCTCGTGGAAAGTTTCCCAGAACCACCTAAACAGAGATTAAATTACGCGTTATTTATCATTATACAACTTCTGCCATTAAATTCTCACTCATAACCTATAAATGGGATAAATAGTAGTATATGTGATTTTTGGAAAGTCACTATCATATATGAGACAAAATTAACTTAGTTTATTGAAGCTGAGTCGGCTATGCGACTTAGCCGCGACGCGTAGGTCGCTAATGCATGAATAAAAATCTTATTGTAACTTGACACTATGTATTAAAGTTTTTCTCATTTAATTCACGAGAGCAAGCAACCAATAATTTTAAGCGTGTTTGATATTTCAGGCTATAATCTATCTAAAGGCTAAATTTTAGTCCAAACTTCTAGAAGAGTTACTAGAAGAGGTACTAGAAAAGTTTACTTAAACTTTTCTTCAGTCAAAGAATGAAAAATATTTTTACATCCTCATTACCATAGGACCATCCTCATATCTATAGCATAAGTAATATATGTAGGAAAGTATAATAAATTAATACTTGGACTGTACCTGACTTGTGGATCAGTGGCAGTGTAACCATTTTTATATTCACAGTTGCTTTCAAACACTTCCCAGTCATATTCCTCGTTACCCATTACGACTGACATCATTTCATGTGATCTAAATAGTTTGATAATTCTACCGCCACAAACCTGCAAGTAAACATCATTTTATTAGAGTATGATGAAGACCTACTAATACAGGAAATAACTAACGAACAGTGTACAAAGAAATATAATTACCGAAGCAAGTCTCACCTTTTGAAAACCTTGATTGAATGCTTTAAACTGATTTTCGACTGACTTATTGAGTAAGAAATCTACATAAAGTTCAACATATTCCTCTTTGTTCTCATGAGTAACGGGCAAGTTCTCGCCGTTTTCCTTCAGTGGGTGCACCTGTATCTGACCGAAAACTTCTGTATTCACCGCAAAACATAAGCTAAATACCTGTTGACATAAACAAACAGAAATTAGATACAGCTACTATTCAATTTTATAATTGATTGAAACTGTCAACCACGAGAACTTGATAAAATTCATTGCGCATAATTATTCCGAACTTCGTGGTGAACATCATTCGATCACTAAAACATTCACATTCACAGTATAAAAGCAATTTTTTTATTATAGAATAAGTCGGCAAACAAGCTGACAGACTACTTGACGGTAAGAAATGGGCGGCGCTAGTGGACAACCCAACAAACCCGCAACACTAAAGGACTTACGAGTGCGTTGCCGGCCTTTTGGGGATAAGGGTTACGGATATAAGGATTGGGAAGGGATAGGGGAGGAGGGATTGGGACACCGGTAACCTCACTCATACGGCAAAACACAACGCTATGGTTGTTTCACGCCGGTATTCTGTGCGGTCGTGGTATCACTCCGGTCGAGCCCTTCGTGTCGAAGCTTGGCTCTTCCGTACTTAAGATTCCACGTTGATAATTTAACTCTGAATTTACGTTAAAAAATTAACTTACCTCTTCTACATCTTCGTCAGGATAGTCAAGTAAACTTTTCAAGCTATTCGCAAGAGTAGGATACAAGTCTGACAGATCGTCCAACATAACAGCTTCTTCCAACAACTTCTTATATAACACCAATGGGAAAGGAACGTAGATTATAATAGAATTGTATATAGCGAGACCATATATGGCACCTGCAAACAGAATATTTATTTTCAGTGAGTTGCCATTTTAACAAGTTTCTATGCTGAAAATATAATTAGTTTTATGGGAAACCCATTTACAGAAATTTTCCCAAGGTCTAACATACTTCTTATACAGAAGAACTAATAAATGTAAAAAAATCACTTTGCTCCATTTTGGTCCAAAATTGATTTTTTGACTAATATACCAACAGTCTTTGTGGCATGCAATAAAGTGTCGAGTATTGACTTACCAATCAAGTAGTACATGACGTCGTCTTCAAATGGATTATTCGAGAACCAGATCATGTTTGTTTCTTCTGATTGCTTGAACATACCATACACAGGGTCAAAGATTTCTTTCAATAGTAACAAAAAGAATTCTTTTTTCACTCCACCTGCATCTTCAGCTTCTTCACCAACAAACTCTACCTAAAATTTAAAATATAAATATTCTATAGTTTACTATTTAAATTGTTGTGTAATTTGTAGAACTAGGGGTAATAAGGACAACTGAATGAAAACAAAATATCTATAAAATATACAGTATAATTTGGATCTTTGCGCAAACATGCGCAACATAGAACTATTTGCGCAAAAAAGTCTCATGTCATTAAGTAGCTAAAATATTTGTAATACTTACTCTTAGCGGTTTCTTTAACTGTGAAGTTTCATGACTACTGATTTGCGTCATAGTGTCTCTCACGATATGGTTCCTGGAAACTGTTAGGTTAAGGAACTGGTCTCTTTGGTATTCATATGTGGGATCCATGAACAACCGTGTGAATATTTGCGTAGCTGCTCTACTGATAGCTATCTGCATTTGTAACTGTTGGTCTATTTTTAGTAACAATGATTTACACTGAACGTCAAATAGGAACGCATAGTTACACATATGTGGATGGGTTGACTGTAAAATAAAGTATTATTGTTTAATTGTGATAGCAAATTAGATTTACATGACACTGAATGCAACATTTATTTTATTGATTTGATTTCTTTCGTGTTATGGAACAATGTTATTTACTGTCAAATAATAAAGGTACTGTATTTTCATATTTAATGCAGTACTTACAGTGTGGTCTGATAGCCAAGTTATGTAATCAGTAGCAATATCAACATGGTTGCTCAAGTCTTCGATATAAAAACATTCCGCCGGAATTTTCGGTTTCTTTGGATTTGTAAAGTTAATTTTGTTCAAGGACGATAGAGTATTGAGTATCTGTATTATGCTATGCGTGAAGTAGAGTTTCTGAAACGAAACAAATAATGAAATACATAAATTATACTGTAATTAATTTTAAATATTTTGTAGCAGTGTAAACGCTGTTATTTACCTTATTAGCTCGCACCGTAGGTTGCATTAGTTCGTATACAATAACACTTTTGAATATATCGACTAGCATTTCAAAATATTCTGGTGTTTGAGCCTCCCACCATAAGTTTACTATCCTCTGTGGGTGGGTTGACAAATTGTTGAAAGCTTCAGCGAACGGACCCTGCAATACAATAAAAGCACATTATTTTAATGTTAAACTGATGACGATGATTACATACTGTTCAAGATAGTATACACGGCTTTACCTGTAATTCCACATGTCGGCGAGGATTACGCATTTCATGATACAGAGGTAAGATAAGGAACATTCTGAGAGCTTCTGCGTCGGGCGGGGACACTTTCATCTTCTTAATTATATTTTCTGTTAGGTGATTAAAAATCTGCAAATGAAAAATATACTTAATAGTGTATTACTTCCCAAAGGGTAGACAGACCTGAGACTGAGTGGTGGCGTTTTATTATTTCATATGCATTATTCTAAAAATAAGAACCTGAAGAATTTAAGTTACGAGGCCCTACATGAGACTGGTAAGGGAATAAGAGGTGACATTTTAGCAAAATTAAATATTACTCAATAATAGAAAATGAAAAACAACTTTTAACTCAAATTAATATTTTTAGTATGAAACAACTAAACTGTTTAAAATATTCTACAAGTTTTAACGACAGCAAATCTAATTCATCAGGTTGTATCGACTTTTATGTAGAACTAAAAGCTAGGATTTTAAATACTACTTAACGAATATAAAACAAAATTTTAACACTGCTACCTAGTGTAAATAGTAAGTAATTACATTATAACTAAAAACAAACACTCACAAGTTCTTTTATGGTAGTATTTTCAAATCTGCTAACTAACGTGAACGCTTCCTCTGCTTTCCTGAGATCTACTCCCGGTACCTTCGTGTTGCAGCCGAAGTGGGCGTTGTTCGGTGCCAAGAACGACCCATTTACACATGCTAGAGAACCGAAGACAGTCTCTAAGTAAGCTAGCATATCCTGTAAGATTAAAACAAGTTGCTGATTATTGGCGCCCTACCAAGAGAAATGGCCTAGTTAATTATCTGTATATGTATATACAAGGACCAATGACTTCGTAGTTTTTTGAGAAAGATGTCTCAGTCTGAGTCGCTTGGTTTAAGAAATAGATATGTTTGATCAATTGGTTATTGACTAAATCAAATCAGACACGTTCCATAAGTACTAGAAAAGAAAACGAACCTACTAGTCGTTCGCCCGTTAGACCCTATTTTAATAACACGGATGTCTGATGTATTCAAATGGGATCCAATACTAATCTTACCTGATTAACAACATCCGAATCTTTAAAGACTTCGCAAGCAGCTAATTTTGGAATAGTGAGTGTTACAATCTGTTTTGTATGATCTTGCACACGGAAGTCTACGGGCCCAGACTTATCATGATCTATGATTAGAAAACTATGGTCGCCGCCTGCAAACACTTTAATAGGTCCTTTGAAGATCTCTTGTGAAAACTGCAAGCAATTATAAAAGTAATTAGTATGATTTGGTACAGGCACAAGGTGAATATTTGTGTGCAAACGAGTTTACTTAGGGTGAGTATATCCACTTTTCATTTTCAGTAATTATAATTATTTTGTTGTATATTTATTGTGAATATCACCTTGTCTAAACAGGCTTAGACCACAAATAAACACCCTGCAACGGTATTATTTACTTTACAGATAATTTTAGACCATGATTACATTAATAACAAGACAATAATTTGTAGTGTAAAATTGTATCCATAGGATGCACTTAAAGAGAGTTTTAAGAATGTGGAGTATGGAAAAAAATATTCTCAAATTACTTGCTAAATCAAATATTTAATACGTTTGTTACTTAATTCGTATGATTGTAAAGTGATCTAGCTAAAAAAAGTACTCCCGACTAATATTTAGCACCTGGTACTTTTTATTTATATTTTATGTGACACTGATTCCCATTAAAAGTAATTGGTTTTTATCGTTCATGCATATTGATATTTTTTTATAGCAGTTATAGCTGAATGGAAGTAATAATATATTATACAGAAACTTGTATACCTAGCAGATCTCTATCAGAGAACAGTTATTATAAATTTATAATTGCAAGTTTGACTCCATTCAATAATTTAGTCAGAATTAAATGGTTAAGCTTGATTTATTTCCAAGATAAATCACACCATGCTCCACATTCCAATAACTGCTCCATTTTAGTATTTTTAATTGCATTTTAGCCCTTTTACTAAATAATAAAGTATAGCATGCATTAACAAAAACAACATACAAGTCACAGCTAAAAGAAATGAAAAAGTCCTAAGCTACAAAATACAGAAACAATCAAAATTTACTAAATATACTATATTTTGATACTGCAATACATTGAACATAATACTAATATATATTTTTAAAGGTACAGATGACTCAACAGTTAGTTTGGAAACGCCCGCGTTGCTATTTCTAGTTATTCCTGTCGCGGCCTCGACTTTCGGTTTCTTCTTCGGCTAAAGAACAATATAATTGATGTTAATAACCTATATCAGGCTATTATTATATCAACATAAACAATTAAACTATTATTGTCATTATTTCTTCTAAAAGACATGCAGTAAGTACATCACATTTAACAACTTGACTTCTCATTTTATTTAAGTAAACAAAATCATTTGCTTCAGTGTTACTGAGGCAAGAAAATTAACGAGAAATGAGCAACCAGCATTAATTCCTACATAGAGAATATACATATCTCAATAGAGGTCATAGAAGGGGACAGATAAAGAGAGAAATTATGCAACTGAAAATGGAGGAACTAAAATTCCCGCCTAATAACAATACACCCTGATTTAAAAGGAGGTTAAAATGAAATCTGGCTCAGATTCTGTCGAGGTAATCGTGCATTTAAATATTTTAGATAGATTTTATCTAATTAAAAATATCAAGCAATAACTAAACACGCAATGAACGACCGTATGGACTATGAAGACTGCTAATATTACTCTAAATAAATAATAATAAAGAAAAACTACTATAAATGATTGCTTAAAACTACGCAACATTCTTATTTACCTTGCTCTGGCCAGGGTTTTCAGTCTGTATGAAAACAATAGAATTGAATAGGAGAAAATGAATTCATAGTGTTGTTTCCTAACGGGTGTAGCTGCTAGTAGGTAGATGATAAACTAACAAAACACAAAATTCAAGCTTTAAATCTATAATACCTTTTCAATGGCTATTATTAAGTAAGCAAACACGCAACTAATCAATAAAATGACAATAGCTTAGTTACTAACAGGCTTGTAAATAAAAGGCGAAAGGTTCATCGAGGTTAGTCTCGTTCAATCAAAACAGTTCATCGATCAAAACTGTCCTCGAACTTATTTTAGAAAATCAATTCCTATATTTTGTATCAGTGGGTGTTTGTTTGAACTCACCGGTGTTTCATCAGTGGGTGTAAAGGACACAGGCGTCGGTACTAACGCGTAGGCCATATGTGGACAACCGAGTTGTCCTCGGGCGCCATACCCACATGCTAGTATACGGTCACCGACTCTACAGAGCACATGTCGGCGTCCGCAAGCTACTTGAGTCACTGTACTGCCCATTAACTCCATAACCTGTTGAGAAAAATATATAATATTTATACCATACCACACAATACATAACATTAGCAATGCATCATTCAGTAGCGATCTGTCCTATAACTACAGCTCCAGACACGTCAAGAGCTTTATTTTGTGTAAACAGCATAAAAACAAAGTAGATGTCCTATGTCTTAGGTGCATTTACAACACGTATTTGACTTTTTTTTACTATACAATACACAGACTGTACGGCTGACTCGGTAGCTGGGCAACCAGCGGAGATATTTTAGTAAATAAATGATATTCATATCCTAGTAAATAATTTAAATAAATCACATGCACATACTTTTCTAGGAACCAGCTCATCTTTGGTAGTTCCGTGTCCTGTTTGTCCATATTCCCCAGTGCCACATGTAAACACACCACCATCTAATGTTAGGAACACAGTGAAGTCTTCTCCACATGCGATATGGCACACCTGGAAAAACATATCTTCAATTATTATTATAATGTAACTTTTACTGTTACTTCACAACCATCAGTAATAAATGTGATGCAAGGGGGAACTTTGTTGAAGTTGACTGAGAATAATCCTCAGTCAACTTCAACAAAGTGATATGAATTTTAAACAGATTTTTTACATTTTTACATTTTATTTATGAAAAAATAGAAGGCAAACTACCGGACGGATCACCTGATAGTAAGTGATCGGAAACGCCCATGGACACATACTATTAGATATTAGTCAAAATAAAATATTACTCTCTCCTAAATTCAAAAATTTTGCATCTCTGTAGTATTTGTTGTCAAAACACACAAATCATGTTAACTGTACCTTAACATTTCTCAGAGTTTTCAAATGCGACGGGTAACACTTATTCTCTCTGTCTTGTAGTCCCAATTGGCCGTGAGTATTTTTTCCCCATCCAAAAACTGCACCAGATCTGTAATAAGAGGATAATATTTGAAACCTTATTTCTCATAAACTCTTCAATAAATCTTATAATAAAGTGTTTCACATAAGTAATGTAGTTCATATACTGTGAAATTATTGCTACATTGAAAAATGATACAAATTTATGATAGTCATTATCTGCTAAAGAAAAATCTATAAATTTTAAACTAAAAATCAAAGTTGTGCTAATGTATGAAAGTATGTTATGATTAATGTGAATTGCTACTGAGAAACATAATTATGGTGCTTATGTAGCATGTAAAGTTAAGGCTATGCCTATTTATATAATAGTAACAAACAATGCATTGTGTTCACCAATGTTTATCTAACCACACTGATAAGTTTTGGACACAATAAAAAAAACATTTCCGATAACTATTGTTTTGATTGGCCCAACTTTTCTAGAACATGACAGACTATGCTCTTTATTTAATTTGCAATGTAATAATAATTAATATAGAGTGCAAAATGTTGTAATAATGCATTCAGTTCTATTTTTTTTTTGTTGTAAGGAATGTGAATGTTATTTTAGTATAAAAGTTTATTCAAATATTTGTTTATAAATAAATTAACATTTATCTCAACAAGATAGGCAAAACATGTGCTCTCTGTGTGTACTTATCTCTAAATCATTTTGCCAAAATGTAAGTAAGTACTAGTAACTGATATGTTTACAAACATTAAAATAATGACTGAATTACTTTTTTTATGAAGCAAACTTACTTGGACAAAGCAAATGTGTGGTTACTGCCGCATGCAATCATTGCAATTGGAACTCCAAGCAGTGAAGTGATAGCTTGTGGAATCATTTCTTTGTTGGTCATAGTACCCAATCCACATTGACCATAACTATTTGCTCCCCAAGAAAACAGGTCACCATCTTGAAGAGAATTTAAGAGTTAGTAACAACTACTACTTTCACTTCTACCAAGACTTTCAACTACCTTATTTAGATTAATTCATTAGGTATACATTAAATTAATAAATTAGGTACGAGATCTAGATATAGAATTTTGAATGGGAAAAAAGTAATTATTAGTCTGCAGGAAAACAAATTTAATATGAACTAATTTTAAAAATGATAAAGTTTCAACTAACACTTAACTAGGAATTATATTGTGGCTGCTACCAACAGCTTTGCCCACAACAACAAGGTAAAAAGGGCATGTGTGTGTGTCTGTATCTCTGCACCAAATTTCATTCAGATTTATTCAGTAAAATTTGTGTTAAAGACTAACAAACATATATACTCTTTTTTTATCCATTTATACTCTTTTTTTACAAAAATATTGGTAAGATTAAAAAATATTACTTACTGTTTGTTAATGCTATTGAATGGTAAGCTCCGCAAGCGACTTGAATAACATTTCTTGTGGCTAGTACTTTTACGAACTTGGGCTTGTCCTGGGCATGCATGCCTAAATTGCTACCCAACTGGCCCATACTATCTGAGCCCCAACTGAACAATTGTCCCCATTCGTCCAGTGCAACTGAGTGCTGTATCCCACAGGCTATTGATGATACTGTGCATTCTTTGAATGTTTCAACTAGTGCTGAAAAATAACTTTAATAAATACAAAATTGTTTTAATGTTACATTGATTCCGGGTTTATATCAAAAGTAGAGATGAATCCAAAGATTTAAGATTTGATACTGTGTGCAGATTTGTTTTCAATATTTGATTATTAACAGGGTAAGTATACAAAGGGGTCCAACTACCATCATTTTGTTTTCAATTGTTTTTACTATCAAAAGGCCTGCTATTTTCTGTGTTTAAACTTTCTGACCTTAAAACGCATAAAAGGTTTTATTGGAATCAGTTTAACTGTTCATGCATAATGCCAAGTGAAATTGGGATCCATTTGTATATCTAGAATCAATGAAGATAAGCTTATTGCAGTACTATGCTTAATCTTTATAATATTGTATCATTTACATTGAAACAGATGTATCCAATTACTCAAACCACTTCAAAACCAGAAGTTCCTTTTTTCAAATATTGTAAATAGAGATTCATTACAATAATTTCAGTAATTATTTTAATTTGATTAATACTATATTCTTAAATGATGTATTGTTCACTATTTGAATAGGTAACAGAACTGCAGGAACCAACCTTCAATTTACATAAGTCAAGGTATCACATATTTGAATGAATGCATTACTATCAATAGTGTTTTGCTGTGTGTTACATTTTATCTGAATAATAGATGAGCAGAATAAAATGGCTGTATTCAATTTGTTACAAAATTTTAATACAGCCATTTATATTGATGATTATGAAATTGGCTTTAACTTTAAAATTCAATAACATGCTCATCATTTTATTTTAAAATAAGAAAAAAAGGAAGAAGGTAATTTATAAATACAATTCCATAATTATAGCCTGAAAGAGGTTTTAAAAGATTATTGTGGAAAGAAAAAACATGAAACTGAATGATAAATATTTGTTTTGTTGTTTTATTTGTGTCTTATTATGCATTGTTTAATTGCTTCCATAAATTGCATCAGTCCCTTTACTTTCATCTTACACGATATTTTTAGTTATTTCATAATGAACTGCTAGTTCTGTTGGTACTACATGATATGTATCAGGTATGGGTTGATGTTTTTAAAAGAAAGTACAGTAAAAAATAATATAAAAATCATTAAGATACCAGGTGTTTTTCCTTCTCTGTTTTCAGTGTGGCGACCCAGTTGGCCAACTTCATTATTTCCACATGAATACAAATGACCACTGTTTGTCAGGTACATTGTGTGGAACTCTCCAGCGGCCACGGATTTTATATGGTTGCTCTCGCGCCATTTTGATAATGTGGGTTTTATTACCTGTTATTGCAAAGAGAAACAACATAATGATGAATGTGAATACATAGTATGCCAAGTCCATATCTAATAAGAATCAGATTAGATTTGAGTATGTTTTGCATGCCACAGTTGTAATATTGCTAATTTAATTTTGTTAAAGTTATAGTCAGAACATTCCGAATTAACTAGAACCTTGATTTATCGATAATATCTACTTAATTACAAATCGCCTTCGGTTTTACCTAACCTCCTTTTTTTGCTTACACCAAAAAATAATTAGGCGCGAATAATATACTTACCAAATCAAGAGTTTCCGGACCTTCTATGCACAATTCATGATGAGTCGCATTACCCCAACAAAACATTTTTGTGCTGTTATTTTGCAATGACTTTTATATTTTACAATGTATGTATAACCTCTACTTCCGATCCAGATCAGTCTGATTGAGAGGTAGTTAGGAATATGATTATTCTAAGCCGGGAGCTTTACACAGTTAATTTTATTTGCAACATAGTGGACGAAAATAATAAAAAAGCATTTTCAAAAAGTCGAGAACAATCTTCAACCTCAGCTGTCATTAGAGCTGTCAGATTTTAAGATACGTTCAGGAATATTAATGTAATTTAACTTACATTCAATTAATCGACTAAAGAGAAAACTTATGAATATAGTGGTTAAGGTTACTTACAAATCTGACAGAAAATATTGAGGAAAAAGTACTTTTTTGTGGTGCATTCGTTTCGCAAGCTGATTCGGCTGTATTGCCCGTAATTTGAGGTCATAGACGTATTTTGTAATTCGTCAATGTTTCATAGGTATTAAACTCTTGTAATAAGGAAAAGGGTTAGCCTAAAAAGCCCTTTGTGTTATTCCAAACAATTATAGCTGATGCCGTTGCTATACGATACGGTACAGGTGTATCTTACCCGCTTAATTTATTTTCAAGCCAATCTTTATCTAAACTCTCAATAGTTAAAAACCGCAATCTGCAGTCAAAGATCTTAACAATACATACTTAAACTGGCTGAAGCTTTATACCTACTGTAATAAATATAGTTATTTACCTATCTAATGAGTATACCGAATTTATTTGCCGCTGAAATAATATTTTTTATTATTTCGTGATAGCTACATTCTTAAATTTTGTCGTGCTACTAGATGGCGGTATCATCAATTTGCAGTTAGGTACTTGGTATAGATGTAAAAGGTAGAGATGTAAAGCTATAGTTACCTATAGATAGATATATGATGGTACTATGGGACGTTGTTCGGCCATATTTGTTATTGTGCTGAAGGGAATTTATATATATCGTTTGATTTTAAACTAGAAAGTTTTACATTCTGTGATGTATTTGGCTTCATTATATCCTTTTGAGTTTTTTTATCTTGTGACATAAAATCTTCAAAACAATTAAGAGTTATGTTAATCCAGTGACTGTAGAACCCCCTTGTGGTAGATTGCTGTGCTGTTCCAGAGCAGTTTATTGAGAGGATTCCATTTAAAATATCACTATCGTGGCGGGGGCTTCAAGTAGCAATGGCAAAGGGGGCCGACAGGCCGCCCCAGTCGACGTGGGGTCTCCCCTACTCGACTGGGAGGAGGCTGACCATTTCAGTTTTGAGGATTCTGAGAGATTCGAAGAAGATTCCTTATGCAGCTGGAGTTCAGAGCCTGAGAGCCTTTGCAATAACTGGCGAGGTTGGAGACGGCCAAATCTTCAGAACTCATTTGGAACCCGATCGACAAAAAAGAACATTCAAGGTAACTAACTATACAGCTGATTCTTTGTTTCGATTTATTGAAAATGCATAAGATTTCTTGACGAATCACGCTAACGTAGAGAATGTTGTGTTAATTTTATGTCATGATTTCTATAAATAGCTTTATTCAGCTTATATTTTCATTAAAGAGCTTTGATGCCATAATGTATAGGTACTAATTGAATGTACATTGTGTTTAGTGATACAAAGAACAGGTGCTAGAAGTCATTTACCTTTGAATGAACTGTGTACTAAATGGTACCTTTGGGTTCAAATCCTTGCGTTTTCAATGTTGTGGCATCTTATTTTACCATCCTAAGTGAATGGAGTATGGTATTTTTTGTTCAAGTCAACTTTCTAACTTTCACTGTTGCTTCTTTTTAGTAAAAAAGTGATAGTGTTATGAATTAAATATGACCATAAATGTTTTACTATAATCATATGAAATATTTTTTTGTATTTGGAGATATGCTTATTTGTAGTAGTTTACATTAATTTAAAAATGTATTGCATTATTTATGTAATGCTTTTGTAAAATAGTAGATGTTATTATTTTACTTGTTAGTCCTATGCTTGGTAACTAAACATCTTTTAATGTATTTGTTCAATATTACAATATCTTAAAAATAAAAATTAATATACATTGAAAAAGAGTTTTGGACTTAAATAATAACATATTCTATAATAATAAAGTGCAAAGATTGTGGCACTCACATGAAACAATGTATATTAAACTTTACAGAAAAGACAGTTTCAACACTAAGTGAACTTGCAGCAAAATGCGTAGCATCTCACATACCATTTGAATTAGTTGAACATGTCTATCCACCGGTACCGGAGCAACTTCAACTCCAGATTGCATTCTGGAGTTTCCCTGACAGTGAAGATGACATCAGGTTGTACTCCTGCCTTGCAAATGGCTCATCTGATGAGTTCCAGAAAGGAGAACATTTGTTTAGAGACAGAGCAGTCAAAGATGTCTTACAAATTGGTAAGTAACACAGCAATGGAGACTGTGTTAACACAATTAATAGTTAATACTTATTCTCTTGTTTATTTTTATATTCTGTTTCAAAATTTTACTGTTCTTTCATAGGTTTCCACTTATCTGCAACAGTAGTTGTCCTTAGTATGCCTCGGGCGCAGTTCAATGTGGCTGTAACCTTTGACAGACAAAGAATATCATCCTGCAACTGCACTTGCTCTTCAACAGCTCATTGGTGTTCACACATTGTTGCTGTTTGCCTTTATAGAATACACCTTGTAAGTATATCTCAATCATATAATTGGCAGATTATATGTTGTCTCATATAAAATGAAAAAGGAATAGTTTGTCCACACAAACAATAAAATTTCATAAATAATTTGTTAAAAATTGGTGTTTCAATGACTCAGCAGTTTTTTCTAAATTCATAATGTAATTAACAATTATAACATTACTCAAGCATACTGGACATTTTAAAATGTTTAGAACATACATTTTAGTTCAGCTATGAGCTAATAATGATATGTACAGATCTGACTATTTATAGATGAGACATTAACTCATCTGAAATGACTAACCAACCAGTAACCTTATAGTTTGATCATTGCCAACTACTCTGTGAAAGTATTGCTAAATCTAAACTTTGGCAATGTGGCAAGGTTTATTTGAAGTTAATTAGGTGTTATTGATTTGTTGTTTTTTTATATCAAATAATTGTTTATTCCTATAACTTGCAATAAAATTAATTCAGTAAATATATTATTAAATCATTTCTGCAGTGTATGCACGGCTATTAGCATTTATTTCACATTAATTTATTTCCAAACTGAAGTTTTTATTCTCTGAGTTTGTATGAAAACAATTAATTAGCCAACAAGTTATATGATTCAGTGGTTGTAGGTACTTAACAGTTCAGGAAACCTCATGAGTAGGAAATTATTAGTAATGATTTATTTATAGAAATGATTAAAGTTGTTAATTGTTTAAATGTATTTATCAGCCAATTAATTATTGTTTTTGTCTTATCTAGCCAACTCAAGTATGTTTGAGAGCACCAGTGTCGGAGTCATTGCAGCGGTTACGAAGAGATCAGCTGCAGAAATTCGCACAATATTTAATATCAGAGTTGCCGCGGCAAGTTTTGCCTACAGCTCAACGTATTTTGGACGAACTTCTGTCGGCGCAACCGAACACAATAAACACGACATGCGGTGCACCCGACCCTACCGCCGGGGCTTCGGCTTACGAGTATACATCCTGGTTTCTCGACGAGAAAACATTACATAACAATATCAACAAGATTTTAGTCAAGTTCTGTGTTCCAACGCCTATAGTATTTAGGTAATAATTTTTCTTATTCATTGCTAATTATAGGTACTTGGTTCCTACTCGAACACAGCAAATAAACAATATTTTATGTTATCTTGTCGGTTGTTTAGTCTTGTTGTTGTTTGTATAGTGAATCCTTAATTTAAATCATTACTTAAAATCCTGCAGTGATGTCAACTATCTAAGTACAAGTGCGCCTCCCGCTGCGGCAGAATGGTCGTCGTTGCTGAGGCCACTACGAGGCAGGGAGCCGGAAGGCATGTGGAACTTACTCTCTATTGTCAGAGAGATGTTCAAGAGAAACGACAGAAATGCTATACCGCTTCTGGAAATTATTACTGAAGAAGTTATGGCTTGTGAACAGGTAAGATAATAATCTTACTACAGGAAATCATAAAAATTTACACTTGAAATGAATGTTGACACATAAGGTTGTATCATGTTTATTTGCTTATATCACAGATTATAGTATGGTGGTATACAACTAAAGCGGCTTTAGTAGCGTGGGGCAACAATGGAGGCGGTGGCAAGCATGGCGGCGGTGGTGGTAACTCTGCCGCTCAACATGCTTGCTCCTCACTGTGCGACGAGGTATGTAAACTGGTCACCTAAGTACATATAAGGGCGATGTCAATTAATCCGTCGGTTTCCAACTAGTCAAATTCAATACTTTTATCAAAATGTCGAAAACGATACTTTTCTACGAAATTTGTATGAAACTCCAAATTATGATGTCATAGTATTTTTAGTCAAATGCTAATTCTTTAAAATTATAGAAAATTGAGTGTATTGATGTGTTGAGTGCACACACAACATTTTTTGCATTTTTTAACATATTATACTGTAAGTACTTGATTTTGATTATTTTAAAAACTGAAAAATGACCTCAAATATTTTTGTTCCGAAAACAGGTGGTTGTATTGTGGCGCCTAGCTGCTTTGAACCCAGCATTAGCACCTCACGAACGTGACACACTACACGAACAATTTGCGCAGTGGCACATGAAAGTGCTTGATAAGGTAAATAAGGTAAATCATCTTGTCACTTTTTAGTAAGTACTGGTGACACATTATTTATTGACACACATTTTAGAATGGACCTATAATAATCATGTATTTAATAGCATAATAATCTAAACCCCTAATTCTTCTAAAGCTCTCCTATGTTACAGGTTCGCCTAAATGATTTCTGTACCTTAGTTAATAAACAGTAAACATGCGTATTCGTAATTTTTTGAAAATAAATCAAATATTGCTGAATCTTCGCACTTTACTCACCACCAATGTCTTTATATTAAGAGGTTTAAACTCTAATCAACGATTCATCTACTTTGAACAGGTGGCGAAGAGTCGTAATACTCATATACCAGCAAGTTCGTCGTCACACAGTCGCCATTCGTCGCGTTCTCACTCGCACTCTCCATACATCAACGGTATAAGTGAGAACGAAGTGTTTCCCGGCTTTCACCCAGCAATGGAAGCTTGCTTCTTAGAATGGGACGACTATCAGATACCGGGCGTCACTTACACTAAGGATTTGAATCCCCTTTACCATAGCCCTTTCACTATCTTCAGACATGCAGACAAACAAAATGAAAGTGTACATCAGGTATGTACGTTTATATATTCGTTTGTAAATTATATTAGCCCAAAGTTATTTTTTTAAATAAGTAATAGACCAGAAACTAATTTTCGTGATTTCTCTTTAGAATATTCTTTGAATTCATATTCGTACAGATAGTAGTACAGTACACACGTTTTAGATTTTGAATGGTTTTTCAACTTCTGGTATGTTTTGAGAAATATTGCAGAGCATTGAACTTAGTTTATTTAGTTCTTTACATTGATGCTCAGCAATATTCACCTTCATCAAATTATTTGCCAAATTTTTGAACAGGCATAAGCCTGTATATTCACCTGATTATTTATTTATTAAGCTCTAGCCCTTAAACTTCATCATTTATCTCACTAAAGTTGTCATCTATGAACATGCAAAAAAAAATATTCATAGAGTACATTTGCATATAATTATGTATGTTCCAGGTAAATTCGTCTAAAGCAGTGTTGAATAACGAGATGTCACTAAGCTATAGACTTACGAATCCTGATCCCTCTCTGCACGGCCATCGTACTACTGTTCTTAGAAATAGTCATATTGCAGTTGACTTAGCGATTCCTGGCCCATCAAGTCAGGTACTGTTATTAAAAAACTAAATATTTCAGCTGTAGGTTCCTACTTTTATTATTGGATAGCTTTTTTCATAAATTCGTTAGCACTTTATAAGTCCGGTTTCCCCATTTCCGTGAAGATTTCGGAAAATGTCTTATTGTTACCAATCCCTTGAAGGAAGACAAACGCCAAATTACAGCTTTCTACGATCAGTAGTTTCGGCTGTGCTTTATCTATTAGTCAAATATACCTGAAAAATAGAAGAGATTTTTATAGAAGTGTACACTTTGTTTTTAGCCTTGTGGATCTGAGGAAGGACCTAGTGAACCACCACGCGACTCTGGACCCAGTGATGGCAACCATTCCAGTGTCTCGTCTGAAGGCAAGTATCATTGTACAAACTTCGTAATCACAAATGAACAAGCAGATTCAAAAATTGCTTGTAAAAAATAAACATATTTATTTCTCGTGTTGTTTAGCAGTAAATCTAATGACAACATTTTTGTTGCACTATAAAGGTTTCTGCGAAAATGAAGAAGAGATCCTTCAGCAGAGTGGTGGTGATACAGACTCTCAGGAGTCAAGTTCTCCCCCCATTTCTTCAGATGACGCCCAACGCCGCGTTTCCAACGATGAATCAGTCTCTGATGATGACTGTAATTTGTACTTCTACGATACAGCTGCTGCCAGAAGGGCAGTGGCTGATGAGGGAACTAGCTCGGGGACCGTCGTTGTAAGTTATCAGTTGTTACTAAAGTGATGTAATACCTACCAAGACGGAGACTAACGTGTTTTTCCTGCAGTCGATGGGTGCGAGCAGTTCGTGCGGAATGGGCTGGGCATGCGGCTGGGAGGGCTCGTTCGCGCGCGCCGAGGGGCTGCACGCGCACGGGCACGCGCGCGAGGCGTGCGCGCTGGGCGCGCGGCTGGCCCGCGAGCTGCTGGCGCGGCCGCCGGCGCTGGGCGGCGCCAACATGCTGCCGTCGCTGGACCCCAAGAAGCCGCGGCGCCGCCACACGCCCAGCCCGCGCCTGTGCGCCGCCAGCCACCGCCTGTCGTGCCTGGCCTCGGCCACGCTGGCCAAGTGCGCCTTCCTCTGCACCGTAAGTACCTAGACTCGTGCTCGTGACATAAGCCCGCCGGACCCGCGCCGCTGGAAGACTTCCGGCGCTAGACCGCACCGCCTTGCATCGCCTCTGTGTGTCGTCCACCACGCTCGCAAATTGCACATTGGTTGACGTAAGTACGTAACGAATGTTTTGCCGTTCCTAAAACTTGTACCGGTTTAGACGTTGGCGCGGCCGGTCCCGCTGGGCGGCGTGCAGCGCGGGCCGTATGACCCGAGGCGGCCGAGACTTCGGTTTACGTTCAGCCCTAGACTGGCTACGCATCGCCTCTTATGTTTTACTTCCGCGACGCTCTCAAAGTGCGCCTTCCTCTGCACTGTGAGTACATTTCAGGAGGACGAGTTTTCTTAGAAAAATCTGTTGTGCTGGTTGTGTACTTCTGGGTAGTTTTGAAATGGTTTTACCAAGTTAAAAAGGTTATCTTTTTTAGCATTAAGGTTTAGGTTTTAATCTTAAGCCTTTGACTGCTAACAGGAAACTGTTGAAGGCAAATCCCGCGTTAATTAGGCCACGGTGACCCACATGACGTTTAATGTATTATTGTGAGTTAAGTATGTTATTGTGACTCCGAAACCAATTTTAATAATAAAAATCTAATATGTTCCTAAAAAAATATTAGCAAAAACAATAGCAACTGCACGTGACTGCCTGATAGCAAGGTAATTCGATCTTGTCCCGATCTTAATACATAATCAAGGCTCGCGAAATTGTACGACTCATAACTATAAAGAACATAATAATATAAGTATGTCCCGCTCTTTGTAATTATGGAAACACGACTGAGTTGAATTCACTCCTCCATATTGGACTCAAAAAAAATTTCGATTTCGAGTTTCGTTTCAATATAAAGTAAAACGAATTAAATACAAAAGGTAAAAAAGATTATTCACTATTTCACTTCTACGGAGTAAAACTGGTTAAATATAAATAACACAAAAAATCAAATACATAATTTTGATTTTCATTTCATTTTGATAGGTGTTAGCAGAATTCAGCGAACACCACGAGCTTGCATTCCGGGTAGGTCTGTTTGCACTTGAGATGGCTCGACCGCCTGCGAGTACTAAGGCTTTGGAAGTAAAACTAAATAACCAAGAGACAGAGCTAGTTTCACTATTGAAGAAACTTCCAACGGGCGCCGAACAATTGGCTTTAGCTCGAGAGAAAGCAGAACAACTGCGCGACGGTACGCTAAGGTAAGCGGAACTTCATGCCATGAAATCATTCACAACTACACAAATGATAATGAACCAAATTACCTTAAGTAATAAGATCATTGAAATTTCGTAGGAACCGTGGACCAGCTTTGCTACCAATAGCGTTAGCGAGCTTCCTATTCGATGTTCTGGTTTTATCTGCTACTGATAAGGAAAATAAACATCCTGTAAGTAAACCTTGCCAATATAATTGTTAGCATTCATGTAACCTACATCATACTATAATGCTGAATTATTGTTGTTAACAGGCAAGGTCGCCAAATGATGAGACATTAGGCTTTGAGGCCGCTGTTGCAGCTTTAGGACTAAAAGCCAATGTGTCTGAAGCAGACCATCCTCTGCTATGTGAGGGAACTAGAAGACAGCGCGGAGAGTTGTCTCTGACGCTCTTGTCTTTCTACAAAGATGATCCTGTTAAACTTGCTAGGATCATGAACAAAGTATGTATACAAGTTACCATTGCCATTTTCTTAATCTCTTTTTTATAAAGTTTTACAACTTCTAGTGGATTGAACTGGAGACTACTACTACTACTTGATAATGTTCAATGTATTTGCGTGTGTAGTTGCTGGACCGCGAGATCCACCAGCTGACGAAGAGTCCGATGGTGAGCCTGTACTACATGAACAACCCGCGCCTGGCCGCGTACCGCGCAGACGCGGCGCCGCACCCCGCCTTCGCCCCGCTACCGCCGCACGCGCCCAGCGCTCTGCAACCTCAGGTACTACACTCAGCTCGTACACCAGCGATTCATTGTTTACTGGTTTTGTAAGTTTATTAATGCAGACAGGTGCCGAGCATTAACCTCACATGGTAAACTTTTCGCTATTTGATTAGAAAAATGTGTCTGTGTTTACACTGATTGAAGATAAACAATGAAACACAATCTAATAATAAAACAGATGCACCGTATTATTATATCTTCGTGTCTGTCCTAGTTGTAAAAGTATAGAGTGAATTTCTAATTTTGTGATTGTCCTAGTAAAAGCTTGTGCTAATAAGTGTTACGAAATGGATCCTGCTTAACTAATGTGAAGTGGCGTCTGTAGACTAGCACGCATTTAGCGAGGTATGACTGGCGTGTGCAGGCGGCGTGCCTGAGCGCGGAGCTGGAGCGGCTGGTGGTGTCGGAGGACGGGACGTCGCCCCCCGCGCACTCGTCGCACGCGTCGCATGCCTCCCATGCGTCCCATGCGTCGCACGCGTCCCACGCGTCGCACGCGTCTCATGCGTCGCACGTGTCGCATGCGTCCCACGCGTCGCACGTGTCGCATGCGTCGCATGCATCGCACGTGTCGCACGCGTCTCACGCGTCCCACGTGTCGCATGCGTCGCACGCCTCGCACGCGTCACACGCGTCGCATGCGTCCCACGCGTCGCACGCATCGCACGCGTCTCATACGCCGCATCCTGTGCCCCACGCTTCTTCCACGCACACGCCTATCTCCAGGGCCAAGGATTCCAGGTTAATATTGTTTTGTATTATTACTAATTCAAACAACCATTTTTAATATCTCAATATATATACATATATATATATATTTTGGATATAAATGCCTAAACACTCATTCTTTCTTTTTTTAGATATAAAGGCAAGCGCCAATACCCTTCGGTACCCAACCAGCCATCGGAAGCATCCGCGCACTTTATGTTTGAGTTGGCAAAGTCCGTTCTGTTCAAAGCTGGCGGTTCGTCTAGTACTAGTCTGTTTACGCAACCCTCGTGTGCAAGGGAACATCATGGACCTCACAGGTATAATAAGAAAGAAAAACATAGAAAAAATTACAATGTAAAGAAAAACTGTAATAGCGATAATAACGATTTGTTTTTATTTCGCAGAGGTTTACATATGGCTGCATTTCAATTGGGTCTTTACGCCCTTGGTTTACACAACTGTGTAAGTGCGAACTGGCTCAGTCGTACTTATTCATCTCACGTTAGTTGGATTACAGGCAAGTATTTTGCTTATAGTACTTAGACTTCAATAAAACCTGGATGATTTGATCTAATTATTTTTTGTGATTATAGGTCAAGCTATGGATATTGGTGCACCAGCTATTTTATTCCTGATTGACGCATGGGAAGGACATTTAACTCCCCCCGAAGCTGCTAGCATCGCCGATAAAGTAAGTAAAACTAGTCATTTATTGTGTGTTTTATGCCCGGTTTCCGAAAGCCCGATCAATGTTAAAATCAACTAACCAGGTGTCAAATCTCTTGTCTAGTCATCTGATTGGTTGTTGATAATTCTGTCAACCAATCGGATAACTTGACAAGAATTAAATTGATTTTAACATTGATCGGCCTTTCGGAATCCGGATGTTAATCTATGATTATTTTGTTAAATAAGAGTGTTATAAACATCTTATATCTATCTATCTTACTTATTACGAGCCGGTATCGTAACTGCGTTAGTTTTTGCAGTTTGTCTACAATTCACAAATGCGGTAGTTTCCAACTGGTCAAATTCAATACTTTTATCCAATAGTCAAAAACGATACCTTGCAATGTAATTTGTATGAAACTGCAAATTATGACGTCATAGTATTTTAGCGTCAAATAGCTTACCAATTTTTTTTAATTACAAAAATTTATTTGTGTGTCGACAGATCGATGAATAGATCATTTTTCAATATTTTATTGTATTGAAACGTCGAATTAATTTATTGTTGACCTAGGAAACTGCCTAATTGTTGATCGGGTTTGAGAATGATTTGTAAATGAATCCTATTGTAGGGCCCAGTAAAAACTTTATTTTAATTATCCAGGCGTCGTCTGGGCGTGACGTGCCTACGGTACGCGCGGCGGCGGAGCTGGCACTGTCAGTACTACCCCACGCGCATGCACTTAACTACAACGAGATACAGCGCGCCGTACTGCAGTGCAAGGAACAAAGCGATTCCATGCTCGAGCGGGCCTGTCTTACTGTCGAAGCTGCCGCTAAAGGTACATAAAGACCGAGAATGTAAATTTTTCTTTTAGCTAGCTAAAGAAGGTTGGAGGCTTAAGTGTGATTGGAATAAAATGTATGGTTGAACATAGAACCGTATCCTTTTTGCAAGTTTAATAATTTTTTTACAGCTTAATCTCTCTGAGGTTTTCGTTTAGTTTCGAGATGCATCGGGGCTCATGGTGACTTTTTTCTTAGTATTATTTGTATTGTAATACAAGTTTATGTTGCAGGTGGCGGCGTGTATCCCGAGGTGTTGTACACGGTGGCCCGCTATTGGCACGAGCTGTACCTCCGGCAAGCTAATGAGGAGACCGAGCCGTTGCTGGACGAGCCACAGTACCGCGCTCAGCCGCCGCCGTTAGCCGTGCCAGTGCCCTACCCCATTCCTTACCCATTCACTTACCATCCTTACCCGCCCACCATATACCAGCTTCCGGTAAGAATAAAACCTTTTGTGAATGTAATTGATTGGTTCGACAACGAAAATCTATATATGTTTTTGTTTTGCAGTACGCAGGCACAGCTCCTCCACACCCACCTCCGCAGTACGCGTTGCCGCCGTACTTTGTCCGTGGTATAGTAGCGCCGGCGGGCGCGGCCGCCCTCGCGCAGCACCCGCAGCACCAGCAGCACGCACCGCTGCAGCAACACGCGCAGCTCTCGCAGCACGCGCAGCACCCGCAGCACGCGCAGCACGCGCCGCTCCAACAACACGCGCAGCACGCTCCGCTCCAGCAACACCCCCAGCACCAGCCGCTGCAGCAGCACCAGCCTCTACAAGCTCACCAAACCCTGCAGCCGCACCAGCCCCTGCAGCAACATCAACAGTTACAGCAACACCCGCCGCTGCAGACACTTCCGCAGCCGCTGCAACAACACCCCCAGCCATTGCAGCAACACCCACAACCTCTACAGCAACATCCACAACCAATGCAGCAACATCCACAACCACTACAGCAGCATCCGCAACCGATACCACATCCACAACCGATGCAGCATCCGCAACACCAGCCGATGCAGCATCCAGCCCTCGGCCAGCATCCTCCGATGCCGCAACATGTTACTCATGCCACACCGATACCACAGACTATAACAGTCAACGCTACTGTTCATCAAGTTGTAAGTACCGATTTGTTTTCACTCTACATTTCAGCATTGCATTTGTTGGATTACCATATTACCTACTACTTGATAAAACTCTAGGGTGAAGTCTGACTCTGGTGTCCTCAAAAACAGGTTCTAGCATAGTTTGGGCACACCAATCTCAGTCCTAGTCACTCGTCTTTCATGGCAAAAATTGTTCATTACTCAGTTGTTTACCACTGCACTGCAGCTCATGTCTCCTATAGTATTAAAGTTATGTAGAAAGAAAATGTAGGTGTTGCGAGGAGAGAAATAATTTAATAATATTTTTAGTCCAAATTGGTATACCTACTTACATTCAAAGATTTTAATAGTACCAATTTCATGATATGTCAAAGTTGATATACTCAAACATATTTCATTTAGTTGTGATACAAGTTTAGGAAACTAACTAAATCTTTACTATTTGCCAGCAGCACCCTGCGCCGATCCCGCCGCCGCTGCCAGGTCCGCAGCAGATGGTGCCAGTGGCGGGGGTGTCAGGCAGCGGCGTGAGCGTGGCCAGCGTGAGCGCCGTGGGCAGCGTGGCCGGCGTGGGTGGCGCGGCGCAAGCCGGCGCGCAGCCCGCCGCGCCCAACGTCAACCAGACGCAGCTGCGCCGACTGCTCGCCGCCTACCGCGTCGGCATGCTCGCGCTCGAGACGCAAGCCCGCCGCGTACATGACGATCGTCCCCAAAACAAGTTTGGCAGGTATGACTCACCATTATTTTTCCAGCGTAATAAATGCACCTCGTGTTAATGTATATAAAATTGTGACAATGTAAACTTAAATTAATGTAAAAACTTCAGTTGCTTACATGTAAAAATACTTAGTAAGATCTAATATTCTGTTTTTTTTTAGTATAAAATGTTCATATGTGTTTAGGAACCCGCCGTACGGCGAGCACGTGAAGTGGTTGCTGCGTATCTCGAAGCGGCTGGGCGCGCAGTACCTGCACCAGTTCTGCGTGTGCGCGGTGAACTCGGTGGTGTCCCCGTTCGTGCTGTACGAGCTGTGCGTGGAGTCGGCGCACTGGCTGGCGCGCGGCGGCCCGCACCATCTCGTCATGCAGCATCTGCGCGGCACGCTCGCCCCGCTCGTGCAGAAGTGCCAGCAAATGTAAATATTCTTCATATATTTACTAATATATGCTTTTTTGTAGGTTATCATGGCGGACCACCTAAGGAGAACTCGGTGTTGTTTCTATATAGAACTATTAGAAGTAATATAATTATCATTCGACTGCATTAGTTTTCGGCGTAAACGTCTAAGAGCTTCCGTTTAAGGGGTTAGCAAAAGTAAAGTAGTTTTAGTAATCGAACAAACTTAAGAATGGTAATCAGTGAATGGCAATTTATAATGGCATTTAATGATTGTTTATTACCTAATTTATTTCTATAACCATAATTCCTTTTTTACCAGGTTATACTAAAATGTGTTTACTCTCGATAGGTACATTCAATGCATCCATCAAAAGTTGTACCACCTGACTACAGTGGAATATGAAGAGTTCGTGAGCATCGTATTGTCGGCCCGCACCGCTTTCCAGCTTACGCCTGAAGGAAACACACAGTTTAAGGAGTGGCTCGCTTCACTGCGCAGGTCTGTATAGTAACATCGCAATGTCAACACATATACACCAACTTCCCAAACAAAACATCCGAAAATATTGCTTGAATTAATATTCGTTTTTTAATTAATAATACATTTTTTTTATTATACATCCAGGCTTCCCATCAGCCAGATATAATTTCAGAATCAAAACAATACAATTACATCCTATTGGTAGTTATACTATTTTTCATTACACTCGACAACACTAACCCGTCTCTAAAGTCTATTGTTTAAAAGACTTGCATGTGATGGTAAGCAGCTTAAACCTATATTTTTTTTTACTCCCAGATAAGTGTGGAAGTTAACTCACCTCCATCAGATTGAACTGACATTACTTAAAAGTGTGAGTACTTCTGTACTCGTACACACAAAATGCATGGTCGTGCGCCGTCTGCTCGCTGGCTACGAATAGATCGTCACAAATAATAAAAACATTACTGTTGCTTCATGTGCCAAAAATGTGCATAATACTATAAACATATTAAACCGTAGTGAGTTGTTGACTGGTAGTAAAGACAACAGTATTTCAATGTATGCATTGATGTTTGCTATATACCAATGAACGAACTAAAAAGTTTTAATTTGCAGGACGTTTTATTTATTTATATGTTCAAGAACTTATTTTGAATATATTATAATATGTTTTAAATATTTTTCCGGCAGCAAATGCCCGTATACTTAAAAAAAAACAGTTTCGCATTCTTCCAACTGCTTGCGTGATGATTGTGCCATTTATCTGTCGAATTCACTTTCTGTTGAATCCTTAACAAGGTTAGTGTTTTGTTGTAATGGATGTATACTGGCTGTTAATGTTGATGAGGAATGCATGGATGTAAAAAAATATATTTGGTAAATGGTAATATTATGTTACTTCAAGTGTCGACGCTTACTAGTTTTGGACATCCCTCAATGTTCTTTTTAACCCGTTTAAGAAGAACGCACTATAATCATTTTGAAGAAATACAGGATATAATATTCACTTTCAGGTCCAAATCGTGCAAGAAAGATCTATGGACGCAGCTGAACGCAGCTCTGCAGACAAATGGCAAATGACGTCGGCAGCCGATAGTTTGTAGAGTGCGGTGTACCGCGCGCAAACTGTCACAACACAGGCGATGGCCGCGTTATCGGCTTGTATACCATCTACATAATAATATTTAACTATATTATATATTGTGTTATTTGTAATTTGAGTTGTTGTTTACTACGGAAACGATTCTATCAGTACTGAATGATTGGTGTATTGTTAATGCACTTTACAGGATTGAGAGGTTATAATATATTTTAAGCTAGTAACTAGTTATTGAGACTTGAGATTTTTCTAATCGTTGATCAAATTATAAGTGATGTGAAAATACTTATAATTAATCTGAAAAATAGTAAATCGTAAATATAACGGACATGAAATCATAATGTGTCGTGCGTGGAAACTTAAATTACAAATAATATAATTCCGACTTGAGAAGATAAACCTCTGTTAGTAATAGTAACACTCGACTTTGAGGGTAATCGATCTCAGTGTAAACACAAACGGAAAGTATCGGTGATCACACGAAATGTTGCTAACTCCTATGTAATACATTCATTTTTGCACATTCATTATATATTTCTTTGTATCGATCGTTTTAAGATATTCACGGAACCGATTTCGAGTCAGAGAACAAAATGAACATTAATAATGCTAAATTCATTATTGTTTGAATTCACGTTACTAACATGAGAGAAACATTCAAGCTCATTTGAAGGTTGTGCTTAAATAGTCTGAGATTTGGTTGTTATCGGAGTTTATTGTAAGAGGAGTTCATCTTTGCACTATTGCTATTTGGGGAGTTTAGCAACATTTGACTTGTTTTTCTAAGATTGTGCAGTGTTACTTCTTATAAATGATGTTAACCACTTCCATCTTCTAAATCGCTTATTTTGTAAGACATTGCACAAAATCACCCTGAATTCCCTTTTGTTTTTCCGTGGATTTTTAATAATCTTGACACACTTAAACTAGTCAGTGGTTTTGAAGATCCGTATTTGGTGACCCAATGGAACTTCTCAACTGTAGCTCATTTAGTTTTCTTTTTTTCTTTGAATAGCTTAATGTAAGACATAAGTTGGATTTTAATGTCTTTTTACGTATCAGGTTTAAGGACCTTTTGACTGCATTCGCGTAAATAAGGTATTAAATGATAATGAAATCGTGGAGAATGTTAATCAGGATCGGAACTTACATCCATTATTGGAGTTTTGAGTCGAAATGTTTCAGTTGTGGTTAGCATTTTGCTGCTTTTAGTTAATTCTAATTGCTAGGTGGGCATCTGATGATATGAAGAGAATTAACTATGTTAGAGAAATAATAATGCGTTGCGATGCTTATTTTCATGCTTATCCTCTATCGAAGCCTTTAGTGTTAGAGTTATTTCCACAGTTAGTTCAATATGCATATTATAAGTGTAAAGAAAAACAAATTATTGCCGTTGGACTTGGATCAAATGGTGTGGACATTTTTAGGATTGGAAATACCTACAAATTCGGGCTTTAATTACTTAATTAAATCAGTGTCCACTTAGCGGTTTTGTCGTGAAGATCTCTATCATTTTGTAAGCTTTTAGAACATAGTACGTTACTCATTTATTGTATGCGTTTCAACGTTTTTTTAGTGTAATGCGAAGTTTTATTATATCTTGGGAGATTAGGATCGCGATGCGCTAATATTTACACTTTTTATTTGTTGTTTTTTTATCAGGCATAGTGGTATTGTTTTCTTAGTTGGGTTAACGTCGATTACGCAGTGTTACATTCACTAATACTGATTACTACGACTTTTAAAACGACTACAATGTTATACTGTACGTTTATTAAATCAAGACTTTAAGTGTAGTCGATTTATAAGTTATACTTGTGAATGTAACTCAAGTATCGCTACAAAAATACGGAATTTCAAAATTGTAACCATAGTCCATATAACATGAATTGGCTTAAGATGTTTCAAGTGACCTAAATAGCGTCATTAGACTACAGATTATTAGACAGAATGTAGACGATGACCGTCGATACACTATTTTTGATATTCTCTTGTCGAAATTTGCAGTTTCATGATGTTTAATGTAAAAACGTCTTGCGAAGATATGTAGACGTGCGTTCTATTAACTATAGTGACTTTATTTACACGTTTTTATTATAATACATATTATATATAAAATATATGGTAATGCGTAGTAGCGTTGAGAGCCTCTGAAATATATTTAAATAATGTGTATGAAGCGTGTGCTGGCAACAAATGAATACCGCAACATTAACTCGTCGAAGATACAAATATATTGTTCATTCTAAGTCATATTTGCTATAATATTGTCGATTTTAAGACTTTCGCGTTACTTACATTCGAGCTGGTTAATATTTTTGAATTCAACGCAATTGGCACGCTGAAATTTAGTAACTTTGTATTGTAAGTCAGACGCTAATATAATTGTGTATATTATACTAAAAGTAAAGTGCTAGAAAGTCTCCTAACATGAAAGCAATACTGAAATATCATTTTATAAATATTACGAGATTTAGATATATGTATGTTTATTCACATGAATATTATTGTAATTGATGTGGTGGTACATTAAGTATAAATGAAAGTTGTGCATGTTTAGTAAAACGATTAACTTGCCGATAGTTTTGCGTGTTCGTGTCTTTTTGAATATCGTAATGCGCTAGTATAAATTGCTCAAACAAGTAAACAGGTGAATGTTCAGAGAGTAAACCGTATCAGCGGGTTTTGGTTGTGCTCTTCAGAGGTACGGGAAATGTTAACTAAAGAGGTTGGAGACGGAAACATGCTGAACCATAAACGTACAAGGTTTTCAAGTTTACCTTTTTAAAGTTTGCAATATAACCTCGCTGGACCTTTAATAATTAAGTAACCCTGTATATTGACAGAATATTTAAACAATCTGCTTGTGCAAATCCATGCTACTTGCCCCGTGTTGGATATGTTTCTGTGTTATCTCTTTTCTTGCAAACTTCGAAGAGGTAAAGAACTCCTGTGCGTTTTCTAGATTAAAGGAAAGTCTGACATTAGAATAAAATTTGTTGCCAGCCTAAGCATCAAGTAGTTTTAGTTCAATATCTTTATAAAATTAGATGTTTATGTGCATTCATTAAGTGTGAATGTTTCAGCATTCAGTAGATAGTAAATTTTAGAATGCTAGTTAGTTTAAATTGAAGGACGTTACAATCAGATCAAAGCTAAGGTTTACGATTTAAGTGACTTCAAAGAATTGTTCAGAATTTTAATCAGAAAAATGGTTGTATGGTATTTCCTAAATAATAGACTATTTGATTGTTCAATATTCATATTCAGAACTATCCTCTGCACAAAAGTTTTGCTGTTACCAACTCGTTAATAATGCACTTTGAGTTTTCGTTTTTTTGCGTGTTTGTTAGGGAATAGTATTTCGTAGCGTTTTTTTCGATTAGGTTTATGTTAGGTACGTACATAGATTATAAGGAATATACTGTAAAGATACGAATGCTTTAACATAATTAGAGAAGGATTCAGATAATGAATTGCATTATTATGTTTTTGGACGAGTATCTTTCCAGTATCTCTCTCTATCGCGTCCAATTTTATCTACTCAATTCACATTATTTTTAAATTTTATTTATTTATACTACCTCGTAAATCAGACTTAAAAAAATAAAAAGAGTTTATCCTACGTCATTAGGTTAAAAACTTGTATGTGGACTTTACCGGAGATTTCAGTATCAATGTTTTATTTCTTTCTACTTCTTACTATTTCGTACTTTCTTTGTATATTATGTATTTCTTTTCCACGACAAAAACATAAAAAAATATAATTTGTTAATATCGTGACTCATTTTAATTTTCACGTCACGAAATACTATTATTTCAATACATTCACAGGATAAATGAAGTAGGTAACTTTTGGAAAGACATTAGTGGTCATAGATATTTGCCGTCCATAAATTTATTTGCAGAACTATACTCTTTTTTCAAGTCATCTTCCAGTTGAGATATATTACATTTCAATAGCAATGCGCTCGTCGGGCATTATTAACATTTTCTGGTATAGTTTAGTTTATATTTTTTTTCGCGATGGTCTTTAACAGGCGCTTCGACATTATTGTCTCAAAAAAACTATTTTTACACGATAAAGCGTATTTAAATGGACAAAAAAAAAAGATTAAATATATCGTTAGTTTCGTAAATATAGAATGTTAGTACGGAGCATATTTTAATTAGTCGTTTAATGCATGTTCATAGATTTAATTCGCCCAGAGTCAGGCAAGTGCGAAGTGTTCCATAGGTGTTGCGGTATCCCATTGATTTGCAGTTATCAGTATCACATATCAGATCGACGTCTCGTCGGGAGATTATTCAAACAAGCATAATTTAATGACAATCACAATTAATTAAATTATTATATTTCTAGCGTTGAATGTTGAATTTAATTACTAAGTCAGTGGCATAATTAAGTGTGGATTAGACATACAACACGGAAATAGAAAGGAATCGCTTTCACGCGATAATTATATTATTAAACTATGTATCAGACTACGAAGAAGTAAACCCGAGTGCACGTGTTTATTACTCATCATTATTTTCATACAATCCGTATGTCTTATCCACAATGATTGGTCTACATTATTAGAGTGGTAGGGCACAGCTATTGAACATATTTGATAGTTCAGGATCGTGGGCAATGGGTTTTAGCTGCAACAGTTGTACTGAGTTTTGTTCTTTAATACTCATGGCAATGTATGCACGTCGAACTACGTCACATCACAAGTCAGTTTAGAGTTATTGAGGATATCAGTCTAGCAAGTTTGTTTAGTTCTACATTGAAGATGCATAATTATTTTATACATCTGGATTTGTAGTTTAATTATATTGCACTTTGTAAGTGTGGTGTCTCCGCCTATTAAAGTATTTAACCATTTACAGAGTTCGAATGGCTACTTATTAGTGTACGTAATAAATTTATATAATGATGATATTTTATTGTGCATAAAGTATATTTGAAAGTGTAGTTGCAAAACAAAGATGTCCAATTTGCCATTATCGTGTTGAAAGTACTTACTCAAATAATTTCTGCTTATATTCGTTGTTGCGCCTGTAATTTGCAGTAGCAAGCATTAAGTGCATAATAAGAATATAATAACGTATTACGAAGCAATTTGGTAATGACATTTATTGTTTTGTGTACACTTTTCAAGCAATATACTATAAAGCAACAGTATAGAGCGTTCGGCTCCTCAAGATATCCCTGTTAAATATTGTTCAACTCATATACATTATAGCATTCTTTGCATAAACCTCAACCGTACTGTTTATTTTTTTGTGCCACGATCGTTTCAAAAACTGTCCGCCATGTTTACCTGCAGGACGAAAGACTGACAAGGACATTGAAATAGTCGAAAGTGGAGACTTTAAGATAAACCAGGGTGTCTAGAAATGATGATACTGTTATAGCGTACGTTTTATCAGGTTAATATTTTCCTTAGACATTTTTTTGTGAGCGAATTGTTTTCAGACATCCTGTATAATTATAGAAAGTGCCCATACATATAGTATTTATTAAATATAGCACTAGACATTTTGCTCCGTTGTCGCAAATGGTTGTAATTATAAAGATATAGTTAATATTAATTAGTAAAATGATAGACTGTTTTGCACGACTTCTGGTTTGACCGTGTCAACTCTCCTTCCTCACGTTGTCTCTTGACATGCAAACAACTATCTGAACACTTTGTGATGACAAGTTCTTTTCTGAAGTTTGCCGGTTGCATGTCAACCTACAACGTTTTCAATTTTCGGTACATTGAACCTACTTGCATCCCACATAAAAATGTGTTTCTACTCAATCTCGAAATATTTTGACCTCTTAACGTTTTATTATTACTTTTACGATTACACTAAGTCTTTTTTGGCAACATATTTGAAGTAATATTATTTAATTATTCAATATACTTATCTATATTAAGACTTGTTTGTTTTATTTCTACATTAACCTACCTCTTAAGTATTTTACTAAATAGTACCATCAGTCTAGTAACATTATACTGGATCTTCGACCTCATGTCGAAACAAAAAGGAGAATCTAATAATACAATTTGACAGAAAAAAATATAGGCCAACCTAATTGCGCCTGTTCTAAATTATAAGATTGTAAACTTAAATTTGGTTCTAGTTTGCAAATTGCAGATTAACACCCGGTTTCCGAAAGGCCGATCAATGTTAAAATCAATTGAATCTCTTGTCAAGTCATCGGATTGGTTGACTGAATCATCAACAACCAATCAGATGACTTGACAAGAGATTTAACAGGAGATTTGTTAATTTTAGTGTTGACAAACCTTTCAGAAACCGGGTGTAAATATGCTTAATGATCTAGAATAGTATTTTGTCATGTTTATGAAAAACTGTACCAGTAATAAATATTGATACGTATCTACTTATTACTGTAAACGTGTAAAATATAGAAGACGGACCTTGCAGAAGCCGTTTTAAAAATCTTAATAAATCTCTCACCAGACCGCCAATGCAGTTGTCAGAAAATTATCACATCAAAATTTAAGCGATTTACAGTTTACATTCTCCGTTGGGCGTGGTGTGGCCAAGGATTATGCAGTCAATGTGTTTTGAATGGTAATTAAGGTAAGATATTTTTTGTGTTATAGTTATTTATATTCCACCAACTCCGATGACCCTGAATAAAGTTATTCCACCACTGGGAAATATTAAAAGGAAAATAAATAAATTACTCACTAGCTTATTAATCAAATCACGTTATCAAAATTTAACAGAACATTTTCCGTGGCAACTGTCTTCATTACCTCTTTCTCAATTAACCGTATTTTATTTCCGTAAATTATACTAATTTTGTATGTAATCTAAGTAGATAAAATGTTTCTACATCTATTAAGACCGATATAAGCCAAAGCACACCCAGTTGATTAAAAGACACACCAGTCAGCTGTGATTTAGATTAGATAGGTAGGTACTTATAATTTAATGTAACCCAAGGCTGTAGCTTTATGTAACCTAAGGTACTAGGTACTAATAAATTGATCGAACAACCTTGTGTGATAAAGATTTTAATCGCTTGCCTATTTAAGTAACTAAATAATTAGTATACTTTCTTATTATAAGTACCTATACACTTTCATATCTATTATTAATTAACGTCATGACGTACATTTTAATCATCTGCAGATGAACCGTAACTGCAAACATGTTTTATGCCTGTTTTTTCCAATTTATCTCTTTGGATAGTGTGCTTTGATAATGTTTCCTCAGCATACTTAAGAATAGAAACAGTACAGACGCAATCGAAGCTTGTAAGGTAGGGCACCGATAAGACCGCGTCGCGGCGCTGACGGCACCGCGGGCACTGGAGCGCATGGCATTCACAACGACAAGCGTGATTCACACGTGCGCGAATTGACAACATAGATCACGACTTTTTATCTTTATCTATCTACGAGTACTACTTACGCACATACTGTAAACATTGATTGCTAAATCTAAGTGTAGCGGACACTGTTTACAGAAGACAAGTTCATTGATTTCTTATATAATTTATTGACAGAGATAACTTTTTTTTTATTCTATTTTAAAAAGCGAGCCCTCTTACACGTGGTCGGCAGATAAAAATAGTATAAAATTTTCCGGAGGGTCGGTTATGAATTTATCAGTGTGTTTTCTGTTATTACTAGTGTAACAGTCAATTATATTTTATAGTTAATTGGTAATGTGACTAGGAAGTACTTTGGAAAATAACATGTAACAGTTGTGATACGCAGATAGATACGGTAATTAATTATATTATGGTCTATTTATACCGAGATTAAGTGCATTATGTGCCATTTTACTATCAATTTGCAATATGCTATCAACATGCAATGATGTTTTCCCGGTATGATAAGCGCATCGAGGTACTTAGTTAAGCAATTAATGTTATGCTATGTCGCGTGAATAAGACTACTAAATATGTAATTTTTTTTACCTGTGTTATTTTGTAATTCGCTTTCCTTCGCTTTGTTTGCAGACAAATTTACACTGAATAATAAGTATGTATTATCGATCAGCACACTCACAGTTAGGTACCTAAAAAAATAAAATAAGTATAACGAGAAAGAATTACTTATTATCCTGTTTTAGTTATTCATAACTTATCGATGCGATACATCATCATCTTTCTGCCCTTGTCCCGTTTTATTTGGGGTCGGCGCAATATGTTTTTTTCTTCCATTCTGTCCTGTCACTCGTCACGCTATCGCTAACTCCTCTGTCTTCCATATCACTTCTCACACAATCCATCCATATTTTCTTTGGTCTCCCTCTCCCTCTCCATCCATCCACATTTATACTCATGACTTTTTTTGTCACATGCTTTTCATCCCTCGTTTTCACATGGCCATACCATGACAAACGGTTTCCTTTCAACTTTTCAGTCACTGGCGCCACTTTCAAACTTCCTCTAATAGGTATACTCATTTCTCACTATCCATTCTCGTCACACCACACATCCATCTCAGCATTCTCATCTCTGCTACATGCAATCGCTTTTCATCCGTCTTTTTCAGAGCCCAACATTCTGACCCATACAGTAGGACAGGCCTTATCACTGACTTGTAGATTTTACCCTTCAACCTGAGGGGCATCCGTGGGTCGCAAGTTGTTCCAGTGACCTGTCGCCATTTCATCCATCCTGAGTTGATCCGATGTGCCACGTCTCGGTCTATCTCACCATTTCCTTGGATATGCGAGCCAAAGTACTTATCGATGCGATACATGAAAAGTGTAATACTTAGGAACTTATATTCTTAAATAAAATATAATTATCTTATTGGGATTTATAAAAACAAAAAAAAAGGTAAGTACATACAGGGCTTGAAACATTCTCAGTCTATTTGATTTATAATATTTTTGGTGAGATGGCTTTTCTTAAGGGGAAATAATTTAATCGTCAAATTACTTCTTGAGAGAAGTCAAGTCCAGAGTGGAGCGAGAGGGAGTGACAGACTCTTACTGCTTAACACATTGAACGCTATCGGGGACAACATGTGGGCCACGCTAGCGGTGGATTTGCTCTCAACTGTAATCTGTAGGCAGTCAATGACTTAAAAGCCGCCCTTTCTTTCACCTGGTCTAGGCTAAGGCTTATTTACGATATTGCACTTGTTCTATAACTTCGGCCCGTGTCTACTTAACAAGAGCAAACATTTAAACCAGGTACATATGAAATTACAAACAAGGTCGATGTAAGCAAAGTCATAGATCTGATAAGTATCTTAATACAGAAAGTAACGTGTTTGTTATCTAGTGATGCTATTATTGGCCATATTCATAAACAGTTAAATACGTCAGAGTATTTACTAATTACTTTACTAGTTTATTTGTGGTTCTTAATATATTTGACGTTTCTATTGTTTACTGATTGTTCTACCTACATAATATGCACACTGTACCAATTAAGTCTTGTAACAGGGTAGGTATTATCAAATAGTATTTAATTCGCATAACGGCAAAAAATTAAAGATAAAGTACCCTATATCAACACCTACTTTTTAACTTTTCATCAGTACTACTTAGTATAGATACTTACCTACGAAGAATGGTCAGCGTGCGAATGTCATTTTTTTTTTCAATATACCTAGAGCATGTATACACGCAGTTTTTCTTGTTGGTAAGTTGAAGCACTGGCAATAGATACAGACACTCGTAAATTCCGACAAAACAAAAGACAAAAGCATTAAAGGCCCTTTAAAAAAATTTAAGAAATCATTTTTTTTTAAGCTAGATTAATAAAACAATTAGGCAAGTACGTCGTATACTTATCTACCTATCCTTAAGTTACAATAATTAGGTCAGTACTATATTAAACTGCTTGCATGTTTATGTTTGCATCTTGCAATACTTGACGTCACATTAAAGTGATGAATCTTTCTTACTTTCATTTTTTCAAAGGATATTAAAAAATACAACGCGATTATTTTCAAAAAAAAAAAATAATAAACGTAGGTACCTATGCTTAAATCATAGGCCCCATCATAAGCAATTTATTTAATTTAAAATGAAAATAAATTACAAAAATACCACAACACAAAAATAAACTCGGTCCGAAAATGTTTTTGTATTTAAATTCCATTTCAGCTTCATTTCCGAACGGAAGTTTATGAAATTTGTTACTACGTACCTACCTACGTTCTATGTTAAAATTAAAACATGCTGTATAAGATGTTTGTCGTGTACCTAAATGGAAAATCCCGCTGAAGGTAACGATTCCATACGAATATAGTATTGTGTTTGTTCTAGTTGTACTATTACTTAACGACACCGACACTACAGTGTGTTTACTATCAACACTGTTGATATTTTTTATGGACGTAACGTTAGAAAAAAAGTTACAAATTATAATACACCATTTAATGATAATTCTGATATAATTTACTTAACTTTTTTCAAAATTTTAAGTATGAGTGTACTTTCCTACTCCTTAGTAAGCCAGCAATGAACTTGTTACTCTGCTGGTGCTGCGAATATTCATGGACTGCGCTGGCCATCACATCCCCATCCCACACCCGTCCGCTCGTTAAACTATTCCGAAAAAAAAAGCATCTCGACCTAAGTAATATTTGTTTTTTTTTACGACTTTTACAGTGAAGGCAAAGAACGTTGTATGACTTTGAGTTAGGTACATTTTCAGATAAAAAAAGATCAATAACTTTGAGATGCCTATTTGTCTTGTTATTAATAGGTTTTTTAGATGCAATCTACAAAGTGCATTGTATTTAACTATCTTCTTGACGGATTGTTTGTGTGTAGGTATATTCTATGACCTTCATAGGTACAATCTGTCTTTATGCAATTTTTCATTATGCCAGGTGATGTGTGGCCAGACAAAAAAATTTCTTAGTTCGAATTCTTCCTTATCACTCCTCCCTATAACACACTCCATCCTATTTTTCATCTCATTCTTGACACGACTCTTTGTTTTCATTTTGAACGTCCCTTTTCTTCTAAATTTAAATTCAGAACTCGTTTCGTTACTTTTTAAAGGTAAATTAAGTAGCTTCACTTCTTTGCCAGCAACCCATCAAATCGACCTGTTCCAATTATATTTCGCTTCAATTTTGGACTTTATGAGGAAACAATAAAGCCGAGTAATAACTTGATTTGCTGCCTATACCTGTTTGTAGCAAAACAGTCGAAAAGCTCGTGCATATATTACCTATAATATGCAGTTGCATCTTTATAACTTTAGAGAGAGGTTAATTAACTTCATTCATCTAAATTAATGAACTAAATAATATGAAGACTAGAGGTTATCCGTGTTTGCAACTAAATATAATGAACACAGTTACATATTTAATTAATTATCTACTAAGTTGATATCTTTTCTGTTAATTGCGTAGGTAAGGTGTATTTTCTAGGTCTATATGAAGATATTAAATCCTATTAAATTACCTTGGTATATATTTAACTTAAAGATACAGGAGCCTCTTTTACGATAAAATCCTAGGAAAAGGCCAGTTACAGAGAAAATTATCTTCTATCAGGCTTCTGTGATTATTTTTGAAAGAGAGAGATGTACCTACGTATTTGCCTATGTACTTACATCTTTTACGTCCATAGGGTAGACAGTGCGCATGGTTGAGTTAATTTATGCTGTATGTGTATCTACAATACGACAGAAATCGTTTTACACAAATGTGTACTTATTCAGAGTACTTACTATGATTATTTGCTACCGAACGGAGTTAAATTCACATTGAAAAAAAAACTTCCCTTTATTTTTTTCACAAGTTCGACAAACATATCGATTAGAACTCGCAGATCTTCTTTTTGCTCCTAATAAATGCTAATAAGTAACCATTGTGGTAAACAAAATAATTATAATAGGTATTTAAATTAAGTACCGAGTTTGAGTTGTCTGCGCCTTAAGTGCTCATGCGCCCGTCCTATGGCAGCGTGACGCTGGCCGCGTGGTCGGTGACTTTTGTCATCATGTACGCTTATCTCGACGCTACTGCACTGATAATAGAAGCGGTATTATTTTCATTGGCTGCGCGGAGGGCGTGCGCGCCCCCGCCTGCCTCTATAAAATCGACATACATGAAAATAGTTCTACATTTATTGATCTCGCGCCGCGCTTGTCGCGTCACGTTTGTCTAACAATCGTGATATCAACACACCTTAATAATAATTAGTATTTATTTTAGTTTTTTTTAACGGTAAGTTTCGCATTTTATTTCTAACTTTTCAATTCATTCATGAATTGACTAGTTCATTATTTTAAGTGAACATTTTTAAAACCTACGAGGTGTTTGAACCGTGGTTTTGAAAGTGGGCATTTAAAGGTTTTGTTAAGAACAGCTAGACATGTTAATGTACCTAACAATTTGAACGTAGGATAGCTGCACTTGTAGAATTTTTATATTTGTAATAAGTTGAAGACATGGCCATCTTTAAAATGCATACTTATAAATTAATAATTAATTTCTTAATCCGCATTCACCAGGCACTAGGCAAATCGTTATAGGTACCTGAACGAGAATTGCCTTCCTTTTTTAAATCGATTGCGTTAACAACATTCACCATTGAGTATTTTCCAATTGGCACGTGTAGTTTTTATGTATAGTGGACACATTTACATAATTACTTACGTACTAACGCATCCAGATAATTGTAATCCTTTATTAAAGTTGCGGATTTGTTCCCTTTGTATTTAGTCAGACGGCAACACCATTGCTTGTTTATCCATTTGGATAGCTAATTCTATTTGGATAGATAAGCTCTGCTATTATTGTAGATGCGAACTTAAATCAATAGGTGCATTCCTGTTTTTCTATATAGGTATATTTGTTCATTTAGTAAAATGTATTCACGTGTTTACAGAACGTAGACGTAAAATAGAATAAAAATGGCATACCTACAATCGATGCCCAAATCTGAAACTATCAGGCTGCGTGAAAAGCATGTGGGGTAAGTTGTGATATTTTATCATACTTACTAAAAATACAATAATGCCAATACTTTTATGTACTATACACTTCAATAATTCAATAAGGAAATAATGAACCATAGCAATCTATTCAGAAGCCTACTTAATTCGGAACATTATAGTTCAATTTGTGTGAGCACTTTATTTCCTCATGTTAATTTTAGATACTTATTGTAAATTGTATTTAAAAACGTTTCTTGTTTTCTGTCGCAATTGAATTAACATTGTAACAAGCCAATTATTGTTTTAGTGCTGCGTGCCAACTTTTCTTCCGATCGTCTCCCCTGAAAATTGTGCGCGGTATCGCTCAGTACATGTATGATGAAACTGGCGAGAGATATCTCGACTGCATCAACAATGTTGCACACGGTTAGTATAAATTGTCGATATTTTATTGCGCATAATGCTTTTTCACCACAAGTCATAAAACCAGTTCTGGTGGGATTTCTAATTAGCATGCTTGAACTAATAGATAAGTGTCAAGTTATTCCAATTTCAAATCGAAACTTTATCAATAACCATATTTTTGCATTACAGTTGGACATTGTCACCCACATGTAGTGGAAGCAGGCAGAAACCAAATGTCTCTTATTTCCACCAACAACCGTTACCTTCACGATGAACTGGTAATCCTTGCGGAAAGGCTCGTCAAAACCTTACCAGAACCTTTGTCCGTCTGTTTCTTTGTCAACTCCGGATCAGAAGCTAACGATCTTGCCTTAAGGCTTGCCAGAATACATACCAAGAATAAGGATGTTATTACCCTTGACCAGTAAGTATTTTTATACTTAGAAAAATAGCTAAATTGATCCTGGGGAAAATTCTCTCTTATTGGCAACGTAAAATTGCACCTAAAATGTTTTAAAAGGATAATGCTCTGCTTTTTACGATTGGTTCACTCTATAAATACCAGGGATGTGTGTTATACTATTACTTAATAAGATAATAGGTACTACTTAAGATAACGCGGTATCTACAATGTAGGTAGTAAAAGATAGTAACCGCGTCATCAGCACACGATGTCATGAAGTGAGCACTATTCTTTCGAAACTGTTCAACTGAATATGACCTTAATAATTCTGTGATAAATGGGGTTAATCATTAAAATTTCCGGTATTTATTGAGACCAATAAATGGTAATGATGTCGTCCGCTTTTGAACCCCTTCGTAGTTTTGTCGTTACTTCGAGCTAGTCGAAGTGTTATTAGGGTGCTACTAGCGCCTGTTTGTTACAGCGCGTATCATGGCCATCTTACGTCTATGATTGATGTGTCTCCATACAAATTTAACCTACCCGGAGGGCCCGAGAAGCCAGAGTGGGTTCATGTGGTAAGTTACACACATTGACTAGGTTGCACACGATCCCAAAGATGCATTCGTTTAGGATATATTTCATTATTTATTCTTATCCCAAAACTATATTGATATATCAGTATCATTGTTTGTAATAAAACTGATAAGTAAGCACTGAATTATTTGAAATGATAAAAATAGCCTCTGTGAATTTCGGATAACAAACGTGAACTGAATCATAATTACGTACCCCAAGATAGATACTATGTTAATTACCTAACAGTTTTTTTCTGAAATTGATAAACATCTGTATACCAAATTAAAAATAATTTTATTTTGTTAATTTACTAGCAACGCACACAGCAAGCTCAGAATCTTAAACGTGAAAGAATGAAAGAAATGGTTCCTTCTATTCTAAATTGCTCTTAACTTATTAATTACTCACATACTTAAATAAATAAAAACTCAATTTGTGAACTTCGCGTGTAGTTGGGATTTCTGGTAAATAAGTATTAGCTCCTGGGACCAAAGCAATTGAACATTACCATATTTTTCTTTATTACAGTTTGACTTAGGTATTGCCCATTTGTTTCATTGGAACCATCATTTACTTACTTAGCTTAGAAAATTAGGAATCTTTTTACTTCATACTTTAATTCATTGATTCCAAGTGAATACATTATCTAATCATGTGCTATTTGACCCTATTTAGGCACCAGTTCCAGACATATACAGAGGAAAATACGTATACCCCAATGACTCTCAAGTTGAAGAAGAGTTAGGAATACTGTATGCCGATGAAGTTGGCAAAATCTGCAAAGAGAGTAAGCGCAAAAATGGCGGCGTTTGCGCATTTATTGCGGAAAGTCTTCAAAGTTGTGGGGGTCAAATCATCCCACCTGATGGTTACCTCAAAAGAGTTTTCGAGTAAGTATATTCTGAATAATAATTATTTATATATTCCTTTCTACTTTTTTATCAAATAAATTTAATTCGCTTTCTATATTAGTACAGTAGTGTGTGTGCAATGTGCATTAATATGAATAGTAAATTGTAGCTAAAATAAGATATCGATCATTGCAACAACCTTGTACTCTATTTACATGCAATGTTGTCTATTACATAGATAGGAAGACCATTAGCACAAATTGACCTATGAGTGATTGTTTACAATAATGTTCGTACCCATTAAACAAATGCTCGTTCTAATTTAAATTTCTAAATCATTTAAAAATATTTGTGTTAATGCCATTAAATTAATTATACCGCAGCGAAGTTAGAGGGGGTCGGAAATGACCCGAACTGTCTCAAGTAACAATCTGCTCCCCCTTTCCCTAGATTGTTATTGGTTTTTTTCGTATGGTAAAGCCATCTGATAAAACATGCGAGTGGTAAAGGAATAGGATGCTTGAAATAAATAGACTGTGTGATATAAAAGAAAAGGGATTTATGACGTGGCGAAATGATTGTAGGAGAAAATGGAAGAAGACGTATTATACCAAAATGAAAATTAAAGATAGAGACACTGTAGGATACTTTGCTCATGAATAAAAGTCCCATTGTGACTTGTAACTGGTAGCTTTTCGCAGTCAATTCACATGATTAAGTCGTTTTTCAATAAGTATAGTGTCACATTATAATTTCGATATTGTTTTGCCTTATGTTAAAACAATAAAATAACTCCTTTTCCAGGCACGTTCGTGAGGCTGGCGGAGTTTGCATAGCTGATGAAGTCCAAGTAGGATTTGGACGTGTTGGTACCCACATGTGGGCATTTGAGACACAAGATGTGGTGCCTGATATTGTCACTATGGGCAAACCTATGGGCAATGGGCATCCAGTGGCAGCTGTTATTACCACACCTGAGATTGCGAAAAGCTTCGCTGATACCGGAGTGGAGTATTTTAATACGGTAAATATCATTTGAATTTGGACTTATAATTTCTAATTATATGTCTGAAATTGTCAATCCGCCTTGAGCAAGTGGGCTCAAAACTCCTCAGAATGAGAAAAGGCCTGTGCTCAGCAGTCGGCATTTTTAGGCTGATATGAAATACCTTTGGAATAATTTGTTGCGCGAAATAAGGTGGTTTTAAAAACGACCTTTTAATTTTGTATGATACACTTTGCGATGTCATTGATTGTTTTGCATCAAGCGTCAAGTTTATACACCTCTTCATAAGAAGAAATAGGATATAATATATGATTATATTTATTTTAAATTAAAATAATCCAAAAACAAAGGAACTTCTTGTTGTTTCAACTACTTATAATTTAGAAGTACAACTAAGCATGATGTATGAAACTACGGCTGTAGCTAGTACGGCTGTAGCTGCATCACTCGATTATGCCAACAGCCGCGCTAATCGAGTGATGCAACACCTGTTTTTAATATCTGCGTGCTAAGTGTTTGGCAAAACAAGTTGATAATATTATGATATAGTTTCAGATATATTTATAGACGATATCAACTCGTTACGTATTGTCCTACGTGACCTATCTCGCTTGAATGTAGATTGTAGATAAGAGATCGTTTTATAAATATAAACGTTATGAAAACTGTTTACTACGAGCCTCTTCACAGTATATTCCTAGTACAATAACTATGCTTAATTTAAAACTAACAATAATTTATTGTCCGAAATATTTGAAAATCGAGAAATTCTATTCGACCACAGATCACAGAAGAACAATGAGCTAATAATTTATTTTTTAATTTTGATCAATTTCCTTTTTGCAGTACGGAGGCAACCCTGTCTCATGCGCCATTGCCAATGCAGTGTTGGATGTGATTGAAGAAGAGCGTTTGATGGAGCGCGCTAACCGAGTCGGCAACCACTTGCTAAACCGGTGTCAACAGCTCAAACATAAACACAGCTTGATTGGCGATGTTCGTGGAAGAGGACTTTTCGTTGGAGTCGAACTCGTGACTGACAGGGAGACAAGGACACCTGCAACTGCTGAAGCTAAACATGTTGTTAACAGGTAAATAATACAATGTTTATTTATACTTACAGATACACACACCATGTTTCGAATAACATGTATATACGAATTAAAACAATCTTGAATAGTATAAATTATGAATAGGTACTATCAAAAATATAAAATGTTAGAATTTAACAATCGTATATTACGTTGCATCGTAAAATTATATTTTAAAAATATATAAAAGTTCTTAATAATGATTTCATCTAAGTAACTAAATACAGATACAATTGTGTATCCTTAAGTCAGGACACTATTTCTTAACAAACTACTTATAAAACATTCTCCATCGCTTTGGTCTGTTAGCGATGTACTCAAAAACAACTGCACAAAATTACATATGATTTTCATCAATGTATAGACAGAGTTTTTGAGTAAAGCTGCATGTGATTTTTCTAAAGCAAACGTGTTTGTTTACAGGATGAGGGAAGAAAAGATTCTCATAAGCCGTGATGGTCCAGACAGCAATGTATTGAAGTTCAAGCCACCCATGGTGTTCTCAACGCAGGATGCTGATAGGCTTGTTGACACTCTAGACAGAGTTTTGGAAGAACTGGATGGAAACAGGGCGCCTGTTACTAGCATCAAACTCCAGGTACATTTATTAATACATATTAGAAAATTGGTACATAATTTATGATTTTCCCCTCCAGTCAGCCTTGTCAGTCAAGTAAGATGATTTGGGTCGATTTCCGGGTCTACATACCTATTGGAATATTTTTTTCCAAAATTACTCAGCTATAGTACGGGGTCTGATGATATGGCTAACGTCGAACTCATGCATACCTTAAGACGTTTGCATTTAATATGTACACCTGTCGGGGAAATAAAATGTTCCTCGCTACATTACATTTTTTAGCAATACCAAAGTGTTTGACGGTAGCTCATGAATTAATTTTCTATTTTCAGGTGCTAGTGACGCCTATCGACGAAACAAAAACAGAGTCGTCAGCTTTAAATACCAACGTTAAACAGAGCATTACGAGTTCGTGACTAGAATAATAATTTTTTATCATAAAAATAACTTAAGTATTAATCGAAATAAGGCTGTAAATATAGTTATGTAAGTTTATATAATAAACTCTAAAGATAAGTACTTAATAGACAAAGGGATTTGTAAAATTGCTAAAAAAAATTGTTATACACATTAGTGTTTACTTGTGTACAGACGACATAGCTCAACGTAGTTCTTTCTATGTAAAAAACTTTATTGTTTTGGTATAAAGTAAAAAATCGAATGAAAAAATTTACAGATTGTCGGTTGCCCTGCCGTCTGTACGTACGTATACCTTTATTTAGGATAATAAAGATGTGATGATGTTTAGTTTTAAGAACTTAATTCGAATGTAAAGAATCAATGCAATATTTTTTTACCATAAATTGATATAAAGATATTTTTATACTTACCACACATGCATTTTATTTATGACATCAATGGACTGACTAAATAAACTCAGTCCATGATTTTCATACCTTTGATGTAGATAGATAATGATCTGTATACTTAAGTCATTTTTTTTCCAAAGCAAAATAAATTGCCATTAGATACTTTCTCTGCATATAGTAAAACTAAAATATTAAGATTTTTTTAAGTATTGTATTCATCGTCTTGCCTAGGTATGTAAGTGAGAAAAAAGTCGTGGACACTAATTGCATCGTATGAACCACCCGCTTGGGATACACCCTGAGAATTAGAAGGTTCGAATTTTTGGTAATATGTTCTGGGTTTGACAGAATAATCTTTCCAAGTGTGCCTTTTGACAGTAGTATATCTATTGTTTTAAACATTTGATTCTTAATAAAGAAATTTTATTATTGAGATCAAACCACTCCGCTTTGGGAAAAAACCTTTTTATCCGTAGGTATATTGGAGTCTAGAATCCAACCTAGCATCTAGGTAGTAACAGATTTTACGTCAGTTAAAATGAAACTTATGACTCGTAAAAATGGGTTGCTATTTTGGGAAGAAATAACGAATATCATGTTATGTGCTGTTAAAATTATTTATTATCTTAAATAATAATACATGTAAAATATGCCATCCATTTCACTAGTTTGTTGACCAATCTTTACAAAGTTACAGAACAAAAACGTTAATTAGGATAAAATAAAAGGTCATGACTCACTCATAGTAAATGTGAATAGATACCAATAGGAAATATTTAAAAATTATTTTACAGGTGATGTTATCTCCATTCAATGTTAAGATGATAATACACATTAATGTTTGGCTGGCGTTTTCCCATACTCAACATTTTTGTATAACGTTTCATAATTATCTTGTGTCACAAGTTGTAGAGGCTTGTAACAAGGTTTGTGTATTTTGATTTCCTGCAGAAGTTCGTAACCTGCTGACCCAGGTGTAAAAAGACAATCTCTGTAACTAGCAGTGTGGTCACCATTACAATTGGCACATTTTGGCGGTTCCTTCTCTGGATCCCTCTCACATTTCTTGGTCAAATGATCTCCAGCACATTTAACACATTTAATTTGTCCATGGCAATACCTTTGAGAGTGACCCCACTTTTGACAACGATGACACTGCTTTGGTTTCGTGAACGGAGGCTCCAATGTCACCTTATGACCTAACAGCTTAGACAATTTCAAAATTACTTTCCCACTTTCATCATAAGGTACAACTGCCAAAACTAATATTGTATTGTCCTTTCTCTCTTCTTTGGTATTCATTTTATGCACTCTTATGACAGGGATAGAAACTGATTTCAATGCACTTTTAACTCTGTACAATTCTACATCCTTAGGCAGCCCCCTGATGACAACTTTCATTTTCCTTTTAGATGGATGTCCAAATGTGTGGTAAGGTAATTGTTTTTTTTCAAAGTATTTTGTCAAGTGTTTATGGTCATTAAAGCTTTCGCAAATTATTTTAGTGTAGTTTTTACCAAGGTTCGGTTGGTAGAATTTTATCCCCATGTTTAAAACTTTTTTCACGTGTTGTTCGAAGTCAACCGGTTTGTGTAGGAAAACTGGTGGGACTTTGTTTTTGACCTTCGGCCATTTTTCTTGCACTTGTGGTTTTATGTTTGTATCTAAAATAGTTTCACCTGTTTGTGGTGCTGGTGATGTTGGTGATGCTGTCGCTGCAGCTCCTGAAGTTGAGGCTGTTGCGGCTGCTGAAGTTGAGGCTACTGCAACTGTTTTTGACGTTGATGCTGGTGACGCCGGGGCCGGTGCCGGTACTGTTACTGTTGATGTTGACGCTACTGCTTGCGTCACTGATGTTGTTCGAGCTTTTGATGGAGATGGTGCAGCCGATGTTGTTGACGAAGATTGGCTGGTTCCTGGTTCAGAAATACTAAATCGTTCCATTTCTTTGGCAAGTTTATCGACCTTTCCTTTCTGTTTCGACTTCTTTTTAGTCATCTTTTATTCTGAAAACATAAAAAAAAGGTATTTTGTAAGAGAGCTAGTATTGCCGACAGAAGTTGTTTCCTTAGGCTATTGATAAAATTAAAGTTTTTATTTACCAGAAAGTGCTTATCAAAATTAATGTCACATAAAGTCTAATCAAATCAAATCAAATCAAATTCTTTATTTCAAATAGACCAAAAAAGGCACTTTTGAACGTCAAGCAAAAAAGATATCATAAAGTTTAACTTTATGTGTCAGTCTGTCCGTCTGTCCTCTAGTGAAGCTATTTGCTCGTTCCAAAGTGTAGATTCCTATGGAGAAGAACGAGCAAGAAACTCCATGGTTACTCTTTTTCAATCACTTTTTACAATACATTGTTACATAATTTAGATAGCTCCATTATGTGAGAACAGTGTAACACTAGTGTTTAACCAAAGTATCCGAAAAAGAAATAACCCTCAGGGACAGCAACTTTAGACAGTCTCGAGTTGACCAGTCCCAATAGGCGGCGTCCGTTCACGAACATGACACGTACACCAGCACCGCCCAACTCAACCATATTATAGGGAACCGAGCGGTCCAGTGCCCGTGCCACCGCCAATGAGACTCCTGAGTGAGCATGACAACTCCCAACTGACACAAGTACCAATATACTATAAGTCTATAAGTCTAACTCAATTATAATAAGTTACAGGGCTCTCACATTTACAAAAATCTAGTTTATCAACAATCAACAACATGGTGAATAATTTAATAATTGAGATCAAAATTCCTCTTAACATTTTTTATCCTGTGCAGTCAAACCAGCCCTCCCAAACCTCCAAGCATTTTTATCTTCTATATAATCATTTAGTTTGTAGTATGCTTTCCTACATAATACTTTCTTTATACATAATTTAAATTTACTTTCATTTAGATTTTGTATTTCAGTTGGGATTTTATTATAACATTTAACACATAATCCCATGAACGACTTATGCACTTTTGCTAATCTAAATAAAGGCTGACTTAATCTATTTCTATGTCTAGTAAGATAGTCATGCTTGTCAGATACTTTTACAAATAGCTGTAGGTTTTTCCTAACATACATAATGTTTTCATATACATCTAATTTGAAGATATGTATTGATGTTTATATTATACTCTTTCACGTACAAACTACTGAACAGGTCTACATGAAATTTGACAATGAGATAGATTTTAGCCTGGTTACACATTGGTATTATACTCTGGTATTGAGGGTGCAGTCATTGGCAGAAGCTAGTAGAAATTAATACAAATATCTAAGATTTACTCAAAGAGGTTAGTTACAACGCGAATATTCTGTGTGTATTTTATTTATAATAAGGTGCGATAGGCGAATTACAAAACTAATTATATTTGATGTTATTTTTTGAATAGAATAATTATATTTGATGTTATTTTTTGAAAAGGAAGTTGACTATATATTAGTCAACTTCCTTTTTTGTAAATACTTACATTTAACTGGATCACAGGTATTACGTAAACACACTTGTCTAAGTTATCTTGTTGTTCTAAGCTTAGTTAGCTTAATTGTCTTGTTCTCTCAATTATAGGGTAGGATTGGAACAAAAATGAATGATCTACCCACTAAAATTCACTTATATTATATTTTTTTATTTTGGCTTTTGGCCTTTCTATATTGCTATTTTTTATATAAACGAATATTGAACGATATTCTCGTTATGTGCAATAATATTATCTACTTATTTATGAAAAGAAAGGCATTTTCAATGACATAGGTGTAATAATTTTAAAAAGCTATGTAAAGTGTTTTTTTAATTCCATTGTTGTCCTACACACGGCTACAAATACTTTTTCGTACATTTTATATGTCAAGATAGGTGTGTAATAAAAACACTAACTTTCTGTCATTGCCTTTTTTGTTTCTGATAGCAATAAAGAAAACCTAAAAGAAGTTTGCCTGAACGGGGAATCGAATCCGAACCACTTGCCTGATAGTGTTTAGACAAACAGAAATGAATAAAATTTTGTCCTATCACCTAAAAGTTATATCTAGCTAGTCTAGCCATAAATACTGTAACAAATAAAAAAAATATTTTTTCTATTGCAAATAGGCTGGACTTTTTGGCACTGCGTAGGGATGTAGCCTCTCTATGTATTCTATATCGCCTTTATCACGGGGAGTGTTCTGAGGAATTGTTCGGTTTGATCCCCGCCACTTCTTTTCGCTATCGTTCCACGCGAAAACATGTTCATCCCCATCACATCATAGATGGTTGGCAGTCAACAACTGTGCGATTCTCGCGTAACTTTCTGCCCCGCACAGCAAAGCTTTGGAATGATCTTCCGGCGGCTGTATTCCCGAACCAATACGACCTTCAAACCTTCAAGAAACGAGCGTACTCCTTCTTAAAAGGCCGGCAACGCACCTGTGACTCCTCTGGTGCTGCAGGTGTCCATAGGCGGCGCCGATCGCTTACCATCAGGTGATCCGTCAGCTCGTTTGCCTCCTATTCCATAAAAAAAATAACATTTATTACTTTTAGAGTATGTAAGTTTAATACATAAATATAAAACAATTTAAAACATAAAAAGCTTATTCGAAGTGGTCTCCATTGGCGGCAACACAGTCCTTTAAACGTTGAGGCCAGTTATCAATAGAAGCACGCACTCTTTCCATGGGAAAATTCTTCACTGCCAATCGTATGGATTGTTTTAGGGAGTCCAAATTATCATGAAATCATAATCCAGCGGATTAAGATCGGGACTAGACGACGGCCAGTCTTCAGCTCTGATGAGGTCGGAAACGTTCGTTTCCAACCAAGACTGCGTGGTCCGAGCTTTATGACCCGGCGCCGAGTCTTGCTGGAAGGACCATTGTTAGTTATTGAACATGGTGTTGTTAAGGGGCTTAACTACCTTCTCAAGAATGGTATTTTGATACACTTGTGCCGATGTTTTGATACCTTTTTCGCAAAAGTATGGCTCAGTCACTCCTTCATAGCTAATACCCCACCAAACCATCACTGAAGTTGGATAATGCCCACGTTGCACTCTGTCGACTAATTGAGAAGCTTCCTTAGAGCTTTGAGCATAAATACGGTCATATTGTTTGTTAAAATGTTGCTCAATTGTAAAAATTTTCTCATCCGTAAACAAAATTTTTCTGTGACCTCCTCGGCGTACCGCTTCAGTAGTCGTTTAGATTTTGTCACCCTATTCTTTTTTAAATTATCATTTAACAAATGTCCAGTGCGTCTCTTATAGGCTGCAAGTCCTAAGTCGTCTTTTAAAAAACGCGACATGGTTCTAGGTGCTATCTTTCGGACAGGATTTCTTCGAATTCTTTCCCTTACTGCTTAGACCACCTTTTTCGTACGAACACTACGTGGACGGCCAGATCATTTTCTATCACAAACAGAGGAGGTCTCATTGTACCTATTAATAGCCCGGTACACAAACATTTGACTAACGCCAAGCGTGTGGAGAGTTTTAAAAATTGCATTTGGCTCCATACCCACTTTGTGTAATGCAATCACAGCGATTCGGTTCTCTTTATCACCCCACTCCATTTTAATATCGCAAAATATTGAACAATTTATTGGCGCCAAAATAAGAAAACACAACAAAAAATTATATAAAAATGACAGATTTCAAATTCAAATGTAATATTTTGTTTATTTTTAATTGTAACAGTATTTATGGCCAGACTATGTATAGGTAAATACCAACTGTAGAACAACTGACTGATTTCGTTTCCAACGCAACCATCGTGTATAAAAATATTTTTTATTGCATGCCCAAATCCAATGAACAATATTTTTCGAAGGCAGAATGCACGACTCAGTAAACTGTTCTAAAGCATATTTATTTTATAAGCGAACAAAAACATAAATCACAAAATCTTCCGCTCCAAATATTGTCAATGCCGTGTAGTCTTTCCGACAAAGAAATCAGACCTTTCCAACTGTCTTTATCATTGAGCCATCTATTGAGTAAACTGACTTTACTGGCTATATAAAAAATATACAATAACTTTCGACATTCAATGTATTCTTGCGGACCGTTTTCGCTTGCGATGCAGTAAGGGAGTAAGAGTAATGTTCCTTTTGATTTTTATGTGTACGTACGAGATATATTATTGAGCTTTGTACGAGTACCCACCTATTCTAAACCGAGTATACATAATATTTAAAGGGAAAGTAAAGTTTATTATTCAGTAGCTCCCGCTCGCAATTTATATGGATAAAAAGCATCCTAGGTATATGTTTATCAATACAGGTATAACTATCTACCTGCATTCCAAATTTTTACCAAATCAGTTCAGCCATTTTTGTGTTAAAGAATAAAAAATATACCTACATCCGATTATTTTCACAAATTTTCACATTTATTATATTAGTAAGTAGTAGATATTATAAGAAAGCATAATATATAGTAGGATAGTAAGATATTTATTACTAAGATCACTATACTTACTAAACATTTACTAGTAGTGTCTTTCGGGTAAAATCATCCGTGAGTAGGGAATGGTTACTGCCAAATTAGCTCGTTCATACATAACCATACCGACTTATATCTGATATGACTGATACTTATAGATAACGATTGCTATAGGACCCATTCCTTAAAATCTTTATAAGGTCTGTTGAACCTTTTTTATAACACTATCCGGTCTATCTGAAAAAAAAAAATAGCATTATCAGTGTCGTCAATATTAGAAAAAAAAAACCCATAGCCGTCTTGCTTTATGTTTGGTTCAATACTTTTTATGTTATAACCAAGACATGGCGCAGCCGGCCCAAGCACGTGCGCAAACTTGCCAGAGACCGTTACATCAATCTTGTCTACCTTGGTATGTTTTGTGCAAGCTTTTCTTGTACGGATCCTTTAAAATTCAATTCTTAGTCCCTTTGCTTTGAATAAAAAATGTTTAGCGCTGTTTGCAGCGGTTACGACGTTGTGTCACCGGGTGTTCCGGCACCTTCTGTAGACAATGAAGGTATTCAGCGTCTGGACAATGCGCG